AACTTCTCCTCTAGGGTTGCCACACTTATCGGAGGGCGCAAGGCGCGCTCCTTATCGCCATCACCACAGAGTTTCCCCCCCAGTTCCTTTAATGGCTATTCAAAGGAACGACATAGGTTATGAAATTATCTCAGAGTATCCGTACTGTCGGGTATTTTTTACATGATTACAAAATTAGAATATAAAATTAGAAAAGATCAAAATGCAATTCAATATATAACAAGGTATTGACACATATAATAAACATGAAATAACAAGAAATATGTTAAGATATGAATTTTAAAAAAATGTTTTAAAATTGTTATGTAAGAAGCAAGTTTCTTAGGGAAGTGAACATGTCTTCCCGATCTGGTGACAGTTTGTGTCTTAGAGAGTTCGTTTGCAGATTTATTCTGCTGAACTGTCTTTAAGTCTTTATTTGTTTTCAGTTCAGGCAAATTAGAGTCCGAAAGCAAATAGGCTGGTTTCACACGGTCTATAGACACAGTAGATTTCAGACCGTTAACATCAATTGTGAAAGTTTTGTCCGTTCTAGAAAGGACTTTATGCGGACCTGTATATGGTTGGCACAGAGGTGGCTTTACTCGATCGACACGTAAGTATACATGCGTACACGACTTTAAGGTAGCACTTACGTAACATTTTTCTTGGCAATGTGCAGATGTTGCTATTGGATTCAATTGTTGCATTCTATGCCGAAGATTCGTGATAAATTGTGTGTCATACGGAGATATCTTAGATGACGTTATCATATCACTAGGCAGCTTGAGAGTTGTGCCGTACACCAGTTCAGCACAAGATGACTGTAGATCTTCCTTTACGGCTGTCCGAATACCAAGCATAACAACTGGTAGTGTTTCAGTCCAGTTATTGGTCTCGTGAGCCTTGAGAGAAGATTTTAAATGTCGATGAAATCGTTCAACAATGCCGTTGGACATTGGATGATAGGCTGTTGTTGTGATTCTGTTCGTACCCAAAATGCGCGTAAATTCTGCAAAAAAGTGCGGATCTCATTTGAGAACCTTGGTCTGTTGTTATGATCGATGGGCAGCCAAAACGAGATATCCAACAGTTGAAGATGGCTCTGCAAATGGTTTCCGTTTTCATATCCGGGATGGGAATGGCTTCAGGCCATCTGGAGAATCTATCTATTAGATTCAAAAAGGTACACGTTGCCTTCTGATGGAGGTAACGGTCCGACGATATCCATATGGATTTCTGAAAAACGTGCATCAGGAAGAGAGAATGTGCCCAGTGGTGCTTTAGCTTTAGTATGCCTAGTAATTTTCGATTTTTGGCAAGATTCACAGGATTTCACCCAATTTTTGATATGACGTTTCATATCGGGCCATACATAACGAGAACAAATAAGCTTCGTAGTAGCTGCAATTCCTGGATGTGACAGATTATGCAGATGATTAAAGATGAGTCTGCGAAAGGAATTCGGAACAAATGGACGAGGAATGTCTGTTGATATGTCACAAAGAATATTACCATCAGAATATTGGCACGGTTTAAATTCCAGTTTCAAAGATGATGTGTTGTTTTTGAGAAGGTCTTGTACCTCCGGATCATGCCGTTGAGCTTCCGAAAATTTTTTAAAATCCAAAAATGGAGATTTTGTTATGGAATCAATTTCGATTCTTGAAAGAGCGTCAGCAACGACGTTTTTTTGAACCTTGCACATGCCTAATATCAGTAGAGTACTGAGAAATAAAATCTAAATGTCGCAATTGTCGAGGTGAACATTTATGAGGGTTCTGTTTAAAAGCGTATATTAACGGTTTTTGATCCGTATAAATTATAAAATTTCTGCCCTCTAACATGTGTCGGAATTTCTTAATTGCAGAATAAATTGAAAATAATTCCCTATCGTACGCGGACCATTTCTGTTGACTTTTATTGAGTAAAATGCTATAGGTTCCCATGTTTGTTGAGACAACTGCATAAGTGTGCCGCCTATTGCGACGTCTGAGGCATCTACCCAGATGCTTAGCTGGGCTCCGGGAATAGGGTGTCTCAAAAGGGTAGCCTGAGCAATGGCATTTTTGGCAGCAATAAAGGCTTGTTCAGCATTCTCGTTCCAATTTAATTGTGGGGATGAATCCTGAACACGAGAACGAGATTTCTTTTTATTAATATAGCCTTCTAACAATTTTATTAAAGGAGAAAGAAAAAGAATATGTGCTGCTTTAGGTATGAAACATCTATAAAAGTTAAACATGCCTAAAAATCGGCGAAGCTGAGTGAGAGTGGTAGGTTGAGGAAAATCTAAAATACATTTGACTTTGTCAGGAAGAGGTTCAATTCCGTTTTCACTAAGGTGAAAAACCTAAGAAATCAATAGATGTTTGACCAAAGGTGCATTTTGAAACATTTATGCAAAGTCCATATTCCTGAAGTTTGGAAAATAAAGCTTTCAAATGCCTGCAATGTTCCTCAGAATCTTTAGAGGCTATGAGCAAGTCATCGACGAAAAGCGTAAACACCCTTCTAAATCCCGCGTGACTTCATCTATAAAACGTTGAAAAGTCGCGGATGCATTGCATAAGCCGAATTGCATACGGGTACTTTCGAATAAACCGAATGGTGTGCATATGGCGGTTTTGTGGATGTCGGCTGGGTTAATTGGTATTTGATGGTATGCCTTAATCAGGTCGACATGACTAAAAATTTTAGTACCGTGCAATGCAGCAGTAAAATCGGCTAAGCATGGAATAGGGTATTTGTCTTTTATTGTTTGAGCGTTCAATGCTCGATAATCTCCTACAGGTCTCCATTCCAGACTTCCCTTTTTTGGAACCATGTGAAGTGGGGATGCATAATTGCTGCTCGAAGGTCTCAAATGCCCCAATTGCATCATAGTTTGAAATTCTTGTTTTGCTATTTTTTTTAAGCGATCTGGAGCTAACCGACGAGGTTTTGCAACCACAGGTGGACCTTTAGTTATGATATAATGAACGGTGTTATGTTTAACAGGTTGGTTAGGATCTGGTAATCTAGTAACTGAAGGAAATTCTTTTAAAATTTTGTGATATGGTGTATCACTAAATACAGTTTTTACTGAATAAATGCTTGCATTTTTCACGCAACCGACGGTTTTTAAAATGCGTTTTTAAATCTTTGAGACATTTGTTTCTGAGATCAGGCACCAATTCAAAGAAATGGAGAAAATCTGCTCCAAGAATGGGTGTACTAACATTTGCTATAAGAAAAGTCCATGTAAACTGTCGTCTTAATTTGAAATCCAAAGAAAGTTTTTTTTTTTTAACCATAAACATGAATAGTAGAAGAATTAGCAGCGAAAAGTGTTTGTTGGGACGAATTCCGTTTTTGAGAATTATTTGCTGGAAGTAAGGACACGTCAGAGCCGGTATCGACCAAGAATGAAAGGTTTGTTCTACGGTCACGAACGAACAGGCGACGTGAAACTTGAGGCAAAGAATAAGTCGCCTCTATTCTTTGCTGGTTTCGTTTCCCTGCCATGAACAAGGTTTTGTACATTTGTCATCTCTACACTTTTTCCCAAAACGTCTATGATACCAGCAAACAGAATAATCTCTCCTTTTGGAATTGCTTCTTTCCTTATTGCGATCTCCGCGATTTGGCGAGCGACCACGAGAAAGAGAAATGCGATCAATACGTTTGTTTAATTTTTCTATTTGTTTAAATAATTTATCCTCAAGAGACTGATCGACTGTGCGAGAAACGGCACAAGTCCCTGGGGTTGGATTTACTTCTAAAATTCTGTCGGCAATTTCTGCAGCTTTATCTACAGTTAAATTGGAAACCGCTGCCAAAATAGACTGAACAGTCGAAGGCAAACGTTGAAGGAATAATTCTAACATTAAGTTATCAGGAACATTTAAAGATTCTGCTCGACGTTTCATATTTCTAAGCAAATCGGAAGGTTTTCGAGAACCTAATTCTTCTCCAGATAATAATTGGCGAATTTCTTGCTGAGAAGATTCTCCTGAACGATTTATTAACTCAGTTTTAAGCTTTGCATATGGATCAATAGGGTCTGGTTTCATAAGTAAATCCCGTACTAGTGATGCGATATCTGGAGGAAGAAGATGAGCAAACTACATAATTATATTTAGTAATGGATTCTGTGATAGGTTTTGGGGGTGGCAAGAGCAAAGGTACTTTCACACATAATAAACCATAAAGATGGGTCTGATCGGTTATAAACCGGAATTTGGACGGCATGAACATCAGACATTGTGCAAGGTTTTTAAGCCAAAATAAAAGCAAAAATTTAACTAAAGAAAATGAAATTAAATGATAAGTAGAAAAACAGAATTATAAAATGATCTATAATTACTACTCATCTGTGATCCGGAGGATGAAAACCGATGTAATCCATTACTTCTGGTTTGGAGATCTTGAGTGATGGCTTGTAGTCAAAACCGAAAGTGCTTGAGAACTGTTCATACGATTTAACACAGTCCGGGTTACCATTATGGTGATTTCCTATATGTTTTTACCACCAATCCTCGAATTCCATATCACAGATTATGTTCTTACTGCATTAATATAAATATTAACAAGACATAGTGCACAATAAAAATTAAGCTTTATTTAGGAACTTCGCGCACACTGCCCGACAGCCTGCCTGTTTCGCTCTGCTCGCTACTCGTAACAAACCTCTCCTCTAGGGTTTCCACACTTATCGCAGGGCGCAAGGCGCACTCCTTATCGCCATCACCACAGGTCTAGCCACCGTAGGCTTCTTATATGCCTGATGATCCGTGGTGGAAAATGTTTCAATTAAATACGAAAAATCACTCGTTTTCAAAAGTGATCGCTAATATTGGATGAAACTAGAGCTACTAGAGATACTAGCTAGAGCTAGAGGAACCCTTTATAGTAGCCTTATTAGATGAAACGCTCATGAAGTCGAGAGTGATCATCAGTTTCAATCGAATGAGGCCTTTATTGATTTGAGAGAGATTTTAGACTGCTAAAATCTGGCAACACTTATGGCATGAAGTGAAATGGTGTATTTGTATTTTTCTGTTATTTGTGTTGTCTACTACTCTTTAATGTGAATGCGATTCATTACATGGTGATTTTTATCATTTTTTTTTTTCGTAGAATTCTTCATTTCTAGAGTTAGAGTATGGGTTCTTCTAAAAAACACAAGGAAAAAAAAGAACGGAAAAAGCATAAGAGAGGACGTTCTCGTTCTCGTGAAAGGGATACACATAAGAAAAGCCACAAGTCTAGCCATAGGAAAGAAAAACGTCGTAGCCCTGAAAATTTATGTCCTGAACTCGAATCTCAGGCTTCGAATGAGAGAAAACGTTATTTTTCAGGGGATGAAGAACATTCTCATCGGGACTATATGCACACTGAGAAAATTGAAGAGGAAAGAAGTCGAAATGCATCCCCTGATGATGAATTTGATATTGATAAACTGCTAGATTCAAAACTTTTGGAAAATTCAGAATTCGCTACAATTTCGAAGCGCTCATCAAAGAAACGCCGTCGTGATATAGATATTGGGGAACTGAAAAAACGTTTGAAAATAAGTAATGAAAATGAAGACTCTTTGGAAAAATTTGCTAACGAACAGTTTATGGAAGAACATGGGTTAGTAGCAGGAAGTGCGGAAAAGCATATTCGATCTCCTCAATATGATTCCTTATCTCGAGATAAATCGGAAAAAATTCCTTTCATTAGTGACACAAAAATTAAAGAAGAACCTCCTGACGAAGACAATGTTGATCCAGCATATGAAGGTAAGTTTTTTTTTTTTTCGTATGTTGCTTACATTAGATGGTAAATGTTTTTATATATATGTACATAACGGGGTGAAGTGCAGAATTGCCCGGTTATATTTTCAGATATTTTAACTTTTAAATAACTTAGCATTTTTCAAAACATAGGAATTACACAGGGATTATATTTCGCCTTAAAGGTTACCATAATTTTTTGCTGTTAGACATCAAGAGTTTTAAAATTATCTAATGGCATAAATTATTATTGTCATTAATTGTTTATAGAATGTACATAATAAAGTGTAACTGTATGGACTATCATAATCCTAATTTATTTCATTAATGTGTGCTGAAAAAGTAGCTGTAGCTGTTGATTACCATGTAGTTTCAGTCCTGAGGATGGCTGTAATGTCTTCTGATGCATAATTTGCCTTGACTATGGTTCACTGCAAATGTAGACCTATTTATATACCTCTGCTTATAGCTGTTCATTTCAAATGCTCGCACATGGCATACAAATACTCTAATGTAAGTTTGGAACTACTCTGATATGCGCCGTCAAGTCGCCGAATTTCTCACATTTTTGGCGAGAAATTCCACGCTGCCATATTGCTATCTAAATTTTTTGTCTACATTTCGAACTTTAAGTCTAAAATGTTTCCAAAAACACGGTTTTCGCGAATGCAAAAACCACGTTTTGAACACACAATTTAAGCTAAAAATCTGAAACAAAAACAAAAAAAATTTACATAGCAAAACCGTAAAATTTCTAACCAAAATTATTTGATAAGAGTCCAGGTACACAGCGATATGTTTTAACTTAAAAAAACATCTATGAATGGCACAATATAGGCAATGAACGAATCTACGAACTACGCACACCTCGCTTTAATAAATTAACATAACAACAATAAATTTCAAAGAATACCATGTACACAGCATCCTGTTTAAACTTAAAAAAACATCTACGAATTGCACAATTTAGGCAACAAACGAATCTACAAACTACGCACACCTCACTTTAATAAATTAACATAACAATAAATTTCAAAGAATACCATGTATACAGCGTTCTGTTTCAACTTTAAAAAAGCATCTACGAATTGCACAATTTAGATGGTACGCACTAATAAACAAAATAACTAAAATAAATTTCAAACAATTCAAAAAAACAACAATAATGACAAATTCATTCTAAGAAAGACAATGAACATAACAGTCTACAAAATAAGAACAAGAATAAAATAAAATGCACTTACCATGAATCGGTGCTTTTTCGAACAGCAGAAATACCAATTTCATACCGCCTTTAACATGCCGCCACGTAATCACTATCATATTTATATGACAGCTAGACACATTATCAGAAAATTCATACTATGGTTCACAAATAAATAAAAATAACAAATAATCACAAATCCCTACTTCTATAATGCACAGCCACTAAAAATAATCTCCCAGATCCTCTTTCCACACCTCCAAATACCCACTGCCCCTCAACAGGATGGCCACGACGATATTTCCTTTTGCCGAACTTCAACAACTTTCACCATTTTAGCTTCTCAGACACAGAGCATGACGTGAACCAACAAACTCCAGCGAAAGATTTTTCAACGTCAACAGGGTTGCCATACAACACGCAATCGTGCCAAAAACCAGCACAGAACACATATCGCCACATTTGGTGAGATTAGGGCGTATATCAGAGTTGTACCGTAAGTTTTGATAGCTGAAAATGTATTGCATGATCAGACAAATCTACTTATCTTGTGATTCTACGTGGATAGATAAGTTCATGCAGCACTTACATTATGTTTCCAAAAATAAAACATTTTCATGTTGGAAATAGCGTCCTTTCTAGTACTATTGATTACATCCCTACCTGGACATTAATACTGTAAAAATTTGATACTTTTCTGTTATGCATCTGCAATTCATTTTGGTATGTTTGTGTGTCTGTATAATGGAAAAGTACCGTATATGTTTATACACACACACGCACGCATATGTGTCAAAATGCATGGCAGTTGCATGAAACCAAACAGAAATATACCAAAATTTAAATTAATTTTATAATAAATATATATAAATATAATTTTTCCAAAATAAATATTACAAACTAAACAAAAGTTAGCTTCATTTTATTCCTTTGTTTTCCGTGCTCTTCAAGTTTGCTCCTCCAAACTATCCCTTGATGAAGAACTAAATTATTTAAAAGCAATAGCTGTTGACAGGGGTTTTCACCCAACATTATTAATCAAGCAGTTAAAAAATTCTCATCCCAACACACTAAAAGGCACACTCTTGTTTTAGGAGATTATAAAAATTCTATTGTCATTCCCTTCTTTTCATCAGTTAGCTATAAAGTTGCACATATTTTGCAGAAATTTAACTTTTGTGTCGTTTATTCTCCCATCAATAAAATTCCGAGTTCCATACTCAAAGACCCCTTTCCGGATATGAATTCCTGGGGTATTTATAGGATTTCTTGCCAGTGTGGTTTAATTTACATTGGCTAAACTAAGAGAGCCTTAAAATTTCGTGTCAAGGAACATGAGGCATATGTTAGAAAAAAGGAAACACAGAAGTCTTCTGTTGCTCAACATTGTTGGTCCGAAAATCACACTTTCAATTTTTCTGCTGCCAAAAGTATTCAAAAAATGAAGTAAAGAATGAGCAATGAGATCAGAAAAATAGACTCGATCAAAATTCTAATTTCATGAAACTGATTTCTTTGAACCATAGTGTTGAGACCTCGTAACACCTCTTAGAACTAACAGTAAAATTTCCGAATAAAATAATGTAAAATGAATAGGGAAACAAAAATTAAACTTGCTGTTAAGTTGGAAGGATAAGCATTCGTTTTTCCTAAAACAGGTATTGAACTTTGTGGGATACTTCCAACTCATAGTAGAAAAACTCTTAAAAGAGTTACTGCTCTTTTTAACGAATCAGTGTTTGCTTGTTCAGAAAAATGAAATGTTTTTTAAAATCAGTTGACACACGAATAGCACATCTCTAGTGTACAATGATAGTGATAGCTTTTTCAGAGTTCAATTTTGAACAGCAGATTCTGACCAGTGATTATAAATGTGATAGATGGTATTATAACCACAGTCTTACTGTAATTATGTCTGTTATAATTTTTCTGTAAAGCAGAAGTTTTGATTCTTCTTTAAATAAAGTTTTGCGATTATTAAAAAGAATATTTACTTAAATATTTATATAACTGTTAATCTTTTTTAATTGAGTTATTATATCTTATAAATAATTTAGTTTATTAGTCTAAAAATCTGTTTTATTGTGTCAGTTTTTTATGTTAAAAGAAGTGAAAAAAACTCAGGAATGTTTTTTAATCTTTTCTTGAAATGTTTCTTGATTAAATTTTATGTACTGTTTAAGAATACTGATGTTTTTATAATTTTGTCTACAGTTATCAGTGTGTGACAGTTTTGTCATGAGCACTATTAAAAAAAATATTACCTGTAAAAGGTGGCAGTATGTGAAATTATGTTATATGTATTCAGCTATTTTGAAACAGTTTAACATAAAGAAATTGCAGACTTAATCTAATGATTTGAGTAAACTTTTATTTGTTATGAATAAATGTTTTTAGATAATAAATTTGAAAAAATGATGTAATTACTACTTTCAAAACAATATCCTACACAATTGCTGCTAAGATTGGCATAAAATAATTATTTAATTAATTTTTAACTAAACAGAATAAAATTTCAGCTTTTTAATTCATTCTTTGCCTGCTTAGTCATAATTAATTTAATTAAGTAACTATTTTCTAGGTACTAGGTGTATGACATATTTTTAGCACTCTGGCAAGTTAATTATTGTACTTTTCACATGAGAAATGCACGTTGGCATTTGTATTAAGGGAATAAACACGTATTATGGTGTTTTTAAATTTTGATATGGTATGCATGTGAGTTTCATTTCTAGTTCAATTTCAAAATTTTTCCACATGTATAAATCACTAGCTCTGATGTAAGTATTCATGCTCCTTATTACCTTAAGTGTCCATATTTCACTTTGTACTAATTCAGTGATTTCCATAATTTATTAAGTATTAAAACTATAAGTATAATATCATGTATAGTTATTTTTTAACTTCAGAATTTTCATATATGTCATATAAATAACCTCTGTGGTTGCACTATTGCAATTGTCTAATTTATAATTTTTTTCGTGTCTTGTATGGAAACTTAATTTAGTCATGCTCACGAAAATTTCTTTCTTTTAGAACACACTGAACCTCAATTATCTTTAAGCATTGCAGAAACAAAGTAAGTTTTGTTATTGGTTTTAATTCAATTACATAAAAATTGATTTCATAAATATTATTTTTGTTTTGTATATTATTTTTGTTTATTTATTTTAGTATTTCAATTCAGCCAGATGTAGGAATTTTTTTAATGACATGTATTGCGTGCTTCTTTATGACAAGTATTGCATGGTTATATAAGATTTGCTTTATAAGTATCCTATCACCAGTTTTTAAGTCTTTTTTTTTCTTTTAAATAATAGTAAGATTTTGTGTCCATATAATTCATAAAATTCATCCTTTAGTTAGATTGCATTCTTTAACTTGTAATCTGAAATCAATGTGTGAGCTGAAATGATGCTATCTCCCATAATTTGTGAAATTTCGTGTCCCTTTATAAGAATTTCAGAGCATAGAAATAGTGCCTGTTATTTGACAAGATTTATGAAGCTTTCTTCAAACTGTCAAGCATAAAAAAACTTTTCTCTTTTATAGTTTGCAAAATCTTGTTCTGTGTGTCTTTCGTAAACTCAAGAAAGAGTTGTATAACTGTAATCTCTTATAATTTTCTTTATATTTATTTTTATTAAACATTTCGGTTAATCTTTGGATTATGGTAACTTGGCGATTTTTTGGCGACCAACCCTGCTACAGCAACCTCCTAACTTTTGTTTGGACGCCATTTTGTTTTCACGAAGTAAAGGCATTTTTTTTTTTTACTCAAAATTTTTTTCCCAACAATCTGCTAGCCGAATTACGCTTATGCTAGAACTTTTATGGAACAAAAGGGCTTAATCATGGCGAAGATTAGGTGCGAAATTGGGAGAAAGTGCAGAATCGCAAACTGCTTGCCGCGTTTTTAAGAATTGTACATACACGGTATTCATGTACACGTCGACCTATTTTCACTTAAAAAAACATCCCAGAATTGCACAAAAATGCACACTCTTGCGCACACTTTGCGCACACTCTTGACTTTATCCATGTACACTGCTAAAGTCCTAGCTAGTAACCTTTATCGCCTTACCAAAATGTCGCCAGACTACCTGTTACCATATTCCAAAGATTAGCCAACATTTCTTTCGAAGCGCACATGCATAAAGCATACATTGTGCATAGTCGAAATTAGAAAATTGCAACCAGAAAGCTATTTGATGTGTATTCATGATATTTATAATGACGAGGAATTTGATATCAAAGACGGAGTACATTAAGATGAAATAATACATTTAGTAAGGAATTATGAGCCGAATAAAAATAAAAACATCTGCCCTGAAGATGAGGATAGTGCTGACAGATCAACTTCCAGTTCACTGCGAGCTGCGACTTCCGCAGCCCCCCCCCCCCCCGCGCAGAGCAGCGTGAAATTGATAAACAGATTTCCGAATGGTTAGAGAAACAAAAGATATGCCTTTATCCATTTTTTGCAGCAATTCCACTTTTTGTTTAATGGACATCGAAACATGCTTTCACTTTGTAGATTTTTTGGCAGCTCCAGAATCGGAAATTCTTTTTGGCATAATCGAAAGTTCAAGCTTACTTCTATAAAATTGCTCTAACAGTCTGCAAAAAATAATAAGCTGGATTCAATTAGAAGATTAAGGAACAACGCAATCTGCAACATTATCTGAAATAGATAATTACATAATTTTAGCTTAGTTTATGCCGTCCGTTATACATTAAATGCACATGCGTAAAGGTATTATGCGCATGCGCAGAAAGTTTGTAGTTTTGAGGTCCGGATAATAGATCATTCCTGATTATGGACATCCTGATTAAAGACTTTTGACTGTATTAAATTTAATATAGCTATTTAGACACAAAATCAAACTTTTTCTGAAATGGCATGCGAAATTTTTTCCATATTTTGATTCTAAGACCAAATTATGCCTAAATATTAAATTTTGTAAAATTTGGTGTGAAATTTATGGAGAAATTCGAAAATTTATCTTAATGCGGGTTTTTTTTTTTTTTTTTTTTTTTTTTTTTCCAGTTTGTGCTGAGAATAATTCACTTCTTAATTTACAGCAACCTATTTTTGTTCCCTTTTCACTGAACACGAGCTGAAAAAAAGTCATCATTCATACTTTTAAATAATTTTAACAAAGTGACATGCCAATTTTTTCCACATTTCAATTCTACAACTCAAATTATGCCAAACTGCCAAGTTTTGTAAAAATCACTCGAGTAGTTTTTAAAAAGTTATCTCTTAAAGTTTTAGTTCCTCAATGTTAATTGAATTTGATATATATTCATTAATATCTCTCTTTATTTAAAAATTTAAACTTACTTGATTCTTTCTTCCAGAATTAGAAATATAGGTTTAATCCAAATATAATTCATACATTTTTTTTTTATTATTTAATTCAAAAATTTGTATTTTTAAATATTTTTTATAAATTTTTTGAGAAAATTTTTTTTATTATAACGTATGAAAATTTTAGCATCATCTTAAACTAGATGTATTTCTAAGCATATCAGCAAAAAATTAGAGTTTTTTATTCAAAATTTCCTACGTGAATTTACATTTTGGTGCATTTTGAAATTTGGCATTTTTAACATAAGTGATAATAATGAAGATGTGTTTTATGCACTTCATTAAAAATGACTTGAAAGAATGAACAATGGACTCCCCCCCCCCTCGTGTATCAGTGAAAAAAGAGTAGGTTCCTATAAATTAAGGATTTCATCAAAATAAATTTTTAAATTTCACCAGAAATTGCAAAATTTAGTATCTAGGCATAATTTGAGTCGTAGAATCGATATGGAAAAAATTTATATATTATTTCAGAAAAAGTCTGATTTTGTGTGAAAATACCTATGTTAGAATGATGCTATATTATATATAAATCTAATACAGTACAAAGTCTTTAATCCGGACGTCCATAATCCGGAATGATCTAAAATCCCGACCTCAAAGCTACAAACTTACTGCGCATGCATAAATGCATAATACACATGTACATAATACTTTCACGCATGCGTGTTCAATGTATAACGGACGGTATAAGCTAGGCTAAAATTATCTAATTATCTATTTCAGTTAATGTTGCACATTTAGTTGTTCTTTAATCTTCTAATTGGATCCGGCTTATTATTTTTTGCAGACTGTTTTATAAAAAGTAAGCTCGAACTTTCGATTATGTCAAATAGAGTTTCAGTTTCTGGAGCTGTCAAAGGATCTACAAAGCGAAAGCATGTTTCGATGTACCCCTTCCGATAGTGAAAAAAGTGACAGAGGCGTTATTGAAAACGAAAAAATTTCGATTGACAAGTTAGTCAGTATTCTCGACACAGCAATTACAGGACTTGAACAGTGGAATTGAACAAGAAATTATGTCTCTTTATAGAATTAAAGAGAAAGTATTAGCACAAAAAAATTAAGCAACTTAAACAACTTACATTGAAAGAAATGTTTAATAAAGTATTAAGTTTTTTTTTTTTTTTTTTTTTTTTTTTGTAAATTTCTATACCCTTTAGATCATAATTGCTCTTTATTTCATAAATTACGGTTTCATATTTTTAATTTTATGATTTCTGCATGCCATCTTACCTGATTTAAATTGATGATTTATAATCCAGAAAAAACCCTAATCCGGAATCGCCGAAGTCCTGATGAGTCCGGATTAAAGACTTTGTACTGCATATGTCCTAAGTCGCGCTTTCGAGACATGAAAAACACAGTTTGAATTTCGTTTCAGAAAAGGTCTGATTTTGTGTCAGTATACCTATATTAGAATGATGCTATATATAAACCTAATATATGTCCTAAGTCGCACTTTCGAGACATGAAAAACACAGTTTAAATTTTGTCAATCAAAACGGAAAATACAGAACTGTTTCGTTTTTTTTTTTTTTTTCCCCCATAGGGAACATAAACTTTCTGCCACCACGGATTCTCCCTAGTTTCTATGGAAATTCTTTAAAAACTATGAGCTACAGAAAATACCAAAAGAACTGAAAGGGTAAGGTGAAAAAGAATGAGACTGCAACTTTCAGTTAAAAAATGATTTTATTTTTCGACATAATCTCCCTTGACTTCAACACACTTGGTCCAGCGTTTCTCCAACATCAGTATTCCTTCCCGGAAGCAAGAGTCTGGAAGGTTGTGAAAATATTCATCTACGACTCTCTCAACTTCTTCATTGGATGTAAAGTGCTTCTTAGAAACAAATTTCTTCAAGTTTGAGAACAGCTGGAAGTCTGAGGGTGCCAAATCAGAAGAATAGGGGGGAATAGCCAAACAAATCATACCCTAAATGCTGCATTCTTCCCACTGCCAGCGTACCCTTGTGCACAGGTGCATTGTCCTGGTGAAAGAAGATTTTTTTCATTTTCAAGCCAGGCCTTTTCTTGCAAAATTTGGCATCCAGCTGGTCAAGAAGGTTGGAGTAATATTCTCCTGTAATTGTTTTCCCTTTTGCAAGGTAATCAATTAACAGGATCCCTTTTGCATCCCAAAATACACTGGCCATGATCATTTTAGCAGATGCGATTGACTTTGCGTTCTTTGACGCTGAACCACCAGCTTCCACCCACTGCTTGGACTGTTTCATTTTTGGTGTGTAGTGATGGCCCCATGTCTCATCCATGGTAACAAATCACCACACACAATATCGGTACAATTCCTGTTGAATCGATCCAAAGATTGCTGTGAAAATGAGCAAACATGCTCATTTGCATTCAGCAAATGCGGCACCCATCTTGCACAGAGTTTTCGCATCCCTCATTCTTTATGCAAGATGTGTCGCACCCTTTCTTCCGATATCCCCACAGCTTCAGCTACCTCACACACTTTAACTCACAGTATTATTTGGCATTATTCACCTATTGTCCAACACAATATAATGTTTTTCGGTGGTTTTTGGCATGGTTGACAGTTTTCGTCCGTCTTTCGCATGGGTCATCGAGAGATGTGGGACTACGTTTAAATTCGGCTGCCCACTTTTTAACGGTTGACATGGGAGGAGCAGAGTCCCCCGTAAACTTTTGTCGACTTTGGACGAATTTCCTTAGGGCTTAATACGTCCAAAACAAAGAATTTTATGATTGCACGATATTCAAGTTTATCCATTTTAATGAATAACACACAAGGCATCTACTGCGAAAATTCATATAAACAAACTACTTGAGAGAACAAGTTGAAACGAACTAATGACACTTGCACTTAGGCAGGTGTCATTAGTTTGTCTCTTAGTCAGGCCGAGAACTTTTCATCTTACTCTCGTACGGATTTTACTGAAAGGGAGCAAGGGAAAGGGTATGTAAAAAAGAATCAGCTTGTTCAGCTGATGATTGGCAAAAAAGTGAAAATAATATGCCAAATAATAATATTAGAGAGTTCGAACAACAGAAATTGCCAGTAATTTTTATAAATATTATAAATATGCAGTGCTAATATCAAAGAACTCAGTACATAATTTCTTCTTTAGCTGCAAGAATAAAAAAGCTTACCAGTTTCTATTGTTTGAATTCTCTAACATATTGGCAGAATGCTCGTAATATCGCATATCATGTATTGAGTTGATGCTGTTCCTGCTTTTGAAGAATAACCAGTTGTAGATCAGTAAATTCTGACCTTTATCTTTGTAATCAAACTCTCTGCAGTGAAGGGCTTGTTTGCCTGCATGCCCTGTTCAATTATATTATGGCAAGGAAAAGGGCCACTGCATCTCCTAAGCTGTGATTAAACTGGAAGTTTTTCAAATTTGGAAATTATGCCACTTCAGAATAAGAGGCGAAAATTATTAAGCCAGAAATTTAAAAACTTGAAACAAATTTCAACAAACAAAATTTCCTTTCATTAAAGCATCTAAAATTTCAGTAAATCATGTACTTTGCTTTAGCAACAAAGACTCTTCAGTTGTGCATAGTGTAAAAGGTAACTGTAAACAAACAGCTTGTATTTTCTCAAAGGCATGCAAAGAAATTAGTGCTATGAAGTATGAAATTTCTTAATAAATGACGATGAAAAGGATGTTATAAAAGCTGAATGCTGTTTAATTCTGCCTTTAATTAAATACAACTATCTAATTTTGGTTTGGGACAATTCGAAATGGCTTCAAATTCGAAACGACTTCAAGCAAAATTTTTCCGAATTCTGCCATAGAATTTTGTACACTTGCATATTATTCTGTTGACCGTGAAAATTGCAAAGATCCTGCCAAAATTACACCAATCATTCCACTGAAATTCTTAGGGAACAGATGCCTCTTTATTTATTAAACAATTAGTATTTGACCCACTTCATACAAAAGCTTTCGGCAGTTTTATTAGGACCTCTGATTTTAAAAAAAGGTAGTTTAGAACATTATCAGTAAGATAATTGTTCAAATTTATTACTGTTTTGTCATAATCAGCTGATTATATTGTGTCCATAAGTTTGAAAATAATATGTTGCTTTCTGTTTTTCCTTGTTTCTAAAAACCAAATGTGTTTATCGAGAATCAGTCAGGGCTACATCAAACAAAAGCATAGATTTTATGAGTGTGTTGGTATGTCATGCTTATTCATAACTGGCATTAAATTGTGCTGCTTGACAACAGTTTCAGAGTCAGCGAGATAATATGCAAGTACCAAATGTTTCTATTGTTTTTTAAAAAAGAAACTGGTTGGATTTTGAGCAAATCTGGTGCAAAAATTCTAGAAGCCATTCTTACTGGAAAACTGAACTTGCAAGTAAATGAACTGTGTTATAGAAAAAGATTATTTGATTCAGAGCTTAAGCTGGCAAAGCATACTTCTTATAAATCTTTACATTCTTAATTTTTAAATGGATTATTAATTAAAAGTACCTTTTTTGTGATTATAGATTTTTTTTTTTTTTTTAATTCCGTGTGAAAACATAATTTAAAAATCTCAAAGATACATGGTTGGATTCTAATTTCTTCTACAATTATTTGAGATTTAAAATATTTACTTCAATATTATGTTGGTAGATTTAGTAATAATTCTCTTTGAGTAATAAAATAAAAATTTTTAAGTAAACGTGCATGTAATTTACCAGAAATATTTTTAATTATTTGTTTTTTATATTTATGGATTTTAAGTTAAAAATATGCTGTAATGCACATAGCAATCATGCTTTGACTACTGATAGGTTTTCCTGTAGCATCTTAAGCTTTTAAATGTATATTTTTTCTTTTTTTCTCTCTTTTTTAAATAGGTTGGCTTTATTTAAACAATAAACAGTATATTTTTTTACTTAACTGGCATAATAATTAAATATTTAGATTTGATAAATTTTATTCATTCATTTCATCAAAGTCACCATTTTGGTATATGTTCTTTTTGTTGTGTTCTAAGTTTTAATGCTTTTTATAAACAAATCTTGGTATTTTTTGCCTTAAACTCAATTTTAAAATATGAACTTGTGGAGTTTGCTTGTAATAGAACATCTTGGAGTAAAATTTCTGCAGGAGCATAGTATTTCGCCACAAAATTTGGTCAATAGCCAGTGTGCAATGTCAAGTTTGTCCATTTCTCTGATTTTTTTTTTTTTTTAACAAAAAATTGCTATGTACGTGGAAAGAAGACAGCGCAAAAAACTTTTGGAAGGATTTCAAGAAAAATGTATTTTATTTTTTAATGTATTATTTAATTTTTATTTCATAATTAAAATTTGTATTTTATATTATTAACTACTTTGTTAAAATGTTTTCTTTTGAGGTTTGCAGACTCATGATAAATATTGATAGTTTGCAAATAGTTTTTTAAGTCACGAAAATCACAAACTTACACCCAGTAAGTAATACTATAACTTTTTCAACTGGGGTGGGGGAGGGAATTGTCAAATTGCAGTAAGATGGTTGCATTAAGTGCCAGTTATTTTCATTATTATTTTTAATGTACAAGAATTTTTATGCAGTACATTTATAGTGTAGTGTATTTTTTCCAATAAAAAATAATACTGACTCATGTTTTTTTTTTTTTTTTTTTTTTTTTTTTTTCTTACATTTTAGCAAGTTACGTGCAAAACTAGGTTTAAAGCCATTGGATGTAGGAAATGAGATTCCAGGTAAATTCTACTTTGGTTTTCCTTTAATTACTTTTATACTGCATGCTTTTAGATTATGAAATGTAACAGATCTGTGTTTCTTACCTAAAAAATTACTGCCAGCAGTTTCTGTAGTTTGCCATATGTTTTAAAGATTATTTGTTTTACTACTGACTTATTCTGAAAGCTACTGATACTTTGGCACCATCAAGGATGACCACTGAGCTGAACGTTTCCTAGAAAAGTCTTTCAGTGTTTAGTCATCCGGGCAGGTACTAGCTAGACTCTTCCAAGGAAAGCTTTAGCAGATTAGATAGTATTTATTTCAATTTCTAAATATTTATAGTCACATTAGATATTACACATGTAATATAATTTACATCATACATACATAAGTACATACGAGGGCCATCCAGGAAGTAGATTACGTTTCCGTCTGTGTCCGCTAGGGGCGGGGCTAGCGCGGCCATCTTGGGGTCAGAGCGTTGCGCAGCTCAGTCTGCATCTAGCCGTGCTAGTGAGAGGTTCGTGCTGTGCTCCGTTCAGATACTGTGACGGTTTGAAATGTCTGCGTTAATTGAAAATCCCGCGAGCTGCGAGGTGCGCTCAGTAATAAGGTTTCTGACTGCAAAAAACTGTAAACCGATAGAAATCTATCGGCAGCTTCGTGAAGTGTATGGGGACAACATTATCACTGAAGGTGGAGTGCGTCAGTGGGTCATAAGATTTCAAAATGGCCGAACCAATGTTCACGACGAAGATCGAAGTGGGAGACCCAGCATAGTGACCGCCGAACTTCTCGAAAAAGTCGATGCTAAAGTCCGTGAAAATCGAAATTTCACAATAACGGAACTTTCTTTGAGTTTTCCACAAATTTCGCAAAGTTTGTTGCACGAAATCATCAGCGAAAAGCTTGGTTACCACAAGTTTTGTGCAAGATGGATTCCAAAAATCTTGACAGAGGACCACAAAAATCAGCGAATGGCTGCAGCGTTGAACTTTTTGGACGCTTACCATAAGGATGGTGACTCTTTACTCGATCGCATCGTTACTGGTGACGAAACATGGGTGAAACATGTGAACTGTGAAACGAAATTGCAATCAATGCAGTGGGGGCACACAAGTTCTCCCCAAAAACCCAAGAAATGCATGCAAACAATGTCGGCAAGGAAGATGATGGCGACTGTTTTTTGGGACAGAAAAGGTGTAATTTTGGTGGACTTCCTGGAAAGAGGCACTACAATAAACTCTCAAAGGTATTGCCAAACTCTCCAAAAACTCAGAAGAGCAATTCAAAACAAGCGCAGAGGAATGTTGAGCTCTAAGATCTTGTTGATTCACGACAACGCCCGGCCCCACACGGCAAATGTCACTCGTAAAGTTCTTGAATCTTTTAAGTGGGAGTTGTTTCCTCATCCGCCGTACAGTCCCGACCTGGCACCGAGCGACTTCCACCTATTCCCAGCAATGAAGAAGTGGCTGGCTATGCAGCGTTTTGATGACGACGCACAGCTGCAAGAAGAGGTAACGAAGTGGTTGAAGGCGCAGGCGGCCGAATTTTTCGACGAAGGAATTTCCAAGCTCGTACATCGCTACGATAAATGCCTTAATTTGTATGGTGACTATGTAGAAAAGTAGTATTTGAGTGTGGCTTTCATCTGTATATAATAAAATTTGTTTCCTATACTTTGTTTATTTTTTTATTCCAAAACGTAATCTACTTTCTGGATAGCCCTCGTAGTATATGTCATGTAGGACGACAGTTATTGAGTTATTTGAAATAAAAAAAAAAAAAAAAATGTTCAGAAACTGTCGAGTTAAAAATTTTATTGAAATCTGCAAAGTAACTAGATATTCGGGTTTAGTTTATGGCATGTTCAATATGCTTGCCATCAATAGGTATGATGTGGCACAGACAAAGAGCTAAATTCTGCAAAACTCGTTGAAGTATCAAAACATGGATGCTTTCGATGACCTTTGGAATGCCTGTTGAGCTCAGCAATGGGTTTGGGGTTATTTTCATTAACTTTGTTTTTTATACTGCCTTACAAAATTAAGTCACGAGGGTTGAGATCAGGAGAATATGATGGCCAAGCATTTCCCATTCAGTGACCTCTGGGTACTTCATAAGCAAAATACACTCTTAAAAGTGCTCTTTAAGGACTTCAAACACTCTCTCGATCCAGTGGGGTCATGCCCCATTCTGCATGAACCATGTCTTTTTGAAATCTGTGTCACCTTGGCTAAGAGAATGACATTTCGTTTAGCAGTCACTGTACACCTTGTGAATATCTCACTGATTATTCTGTGATGTGACATTGTACACCAAATATTTCAGTCCCCCAAATACAACATTTGTGTTTGTGTATATTTTGTGACTTATCTCACTTGTCTGACAGCAACATCAAAACAAGCTCACAAAATTCATCGTTGCAAGAAGTGCAACATTGCATTCATTGTTGGCAAGAGCCTTGAGCACCATACAGGTGATGGTACAACTTTCCTTAGTTGTACCCCCAATTTTGATGGAGAACAAAAATACTAGGGGGAGGGGTCTGAGGATCTTCCACCCCTCTTCTCCTACCACCAGCCTTGTCAAGAGGATTTTCGTCCCGCTGCATATGTAGAGTTCCTTGCTGCACAGATACTATACATTTAAAACATCCATGCCTTTTCCGGGATTTAAACCCAGCCCCATCGGTACGGCAATCAGAGTTGGTAACCACTATCCCAGTTGGGTGGCATAGTTCTGTTTATTGATGTACCCATCCAAATGGAAGTGGGCTTTGTCGCTAAACCAAATCATATTCACACCAAATTCTTGCTTGTCAACAGCATTTGTATTCTGCCAACACTATTGTCGATATCGGAGCAATAGTTTTGCTAAAACACAAATGTTGTTCGATATCTGATGAATTTGAATTTTTTATGGTTGCTGCAGCTATTGAACAACAACTTGTCACAATTTCTGGTTGGTTGATTCCGACCTGTCGTGAAGCTTGACTGATCGATATCCTTGGGCTATTATGAAACACAGTTTATATTTTCTTGATATATCAGGCATTTTCACTTTTGCTGGATAACCAACATTGCCAACACTGTCATCACAAATACTACCAGTTTTCTCAACTTTTTAATCAGACTTTTGATTGTCATAACACATGACCAAGTTGTCTTCAGCTTGTATTTGGTTGCAAATTTTCCTTGAGCCACAATCAGGCTGTTATTGTTCGAATGCAGTCAGGCCTTGATGATGAATATATGCTAAGAAACACTGTATTTTAACATTTTCAGTGAAAAATGCGCAACAACAATATGAGTGTGCATGCTCGAATAAATTCCCAACATGCCCGCATTCAGCCGCGAAGTTTCAACTGAATCTCGCGAATGACTCAAAAGTTATCAGTTGTTTTCTTCATATGGTTGAAAAATTGTCACATGCTGGTTAAGTTTTATGCGGTGATGAGGAGCGATAATTCATGATGTTCTCCTTCACAGAGTTAATATTCTCCAGATTTTTTTTTCCCCAAAATATTTCTATCCTCAGAGGGCTGCCAATTCTGAAATCTTCATGACTGTATTTGTTTGATTACTCAAAGAACCATCTGTGGATATTCCCTGAGAACTTATGGAATTAGTATCGGACTCTACAATTGAATTCAAAATAGTTGTATTGTATAGGTTGTGTGTTACTGTGTTAGTGAGTATTTTAGATTGATTGTCCAATGAACTACTGATGTTTTTTGGGGTTTCTTTGTTTCATATTTTGTGAACTTTATTGAAAAAATATGAAATGTGTGAAACTATTACAAAAATGATTTAGTATAAGAAAAATAAAATTTAAGAAAAATTAATATTTGTGCGTGTTAGTAATATAAGAGTAAAAATGTTCTGTTGATATTTATTTATCATAAAAAAATAAGTGCTAAATAAAGCTGATGTTTCTTATTAAATTATGCTTTTTATAGTTAAAAAATTTTAACAATTGTTATAAAATAAAAATTAAGAATAATTATTGTTAAGCTATTATGGAGGAAAAGAATGAGGTTACTGGATGTGCTGCTGCTATGATATCATTACTATAATGCTGTAAAATAATTTCAATTAAAAATTAATGGTGGGTGATAAAATTAAATTAGAAAATTAAGAAATAAATGTTTATCTGTAGATATTAAATTATTGAATTAGAGAAAGAATTAAGTTATTATCAAATAAGTTACATAGAAAAAAATCAATGAAGAAACATTTTGAGATAGGGAAACAACAAATCACATTGAACAAATTTTACTGAAACAGAACTGCAAGGAGTCTCAAGAAGAGTTGAATGGCATTTAGAGGCAAAGAAAAGATAAAAAAGATGCCTCCTAAAGGTATTTTTGTAGAAGGGAATTCCAAATTCAAAGAATAACATTTTAATCATTTTCCACTTATGTCGTCCACTTTTCTTAGTACATTTGCAGTAAAATTAAATTAAGTTTTTGTGTATTTTACCTGTTAATATTGGGTTTATCATTCTTATTTAATATTACTGATACTATTTGTTCCTGGACTGTAGATGACTGCTTACCTAACAACAGTACATTGTGTATAAGTTCATAGCTCAAAACCTACAGAAATCAGTGATATATTTACTGATTTCTGTAGGTTTTGAGCTATTAACTTATACACAATATACTGTTGTTAGGTAAGCAGTCATCTACAGTCCAGGAACAAATTAATTCATTTTTACATTAATTCGTATGGAGAAAGCTGCTTCAGTTTATAAACATTTCAGTTGATGAACAGCCTTCAGGAATGAATTAAATTCTTGAATTGAGGCATCACTGTATTTCCAAAATTGTTTCAATAATTCAGTAATAAATGTTCTTTCTGAAGTGTTTGCTCCACATGATATATTTGTTATTATTATATATACAGTGGTGGCCAAAATTGCGGACTCTTTTGGAAATTTTTATGTTTTTGAACTTTGTATGCTTATACAAAACGTTACGTTTCACAAAATGCAAACTTTTATATATCATTTTAAAGAGAATTTATTACTGAATTCAATACAAAATTCAATTATTTGCAATAAAAAAAAAGTTAAACGATAATAGTTATCGATATACATTAGATAGTGATGATTTCAGTGAGTTAACAGTACTTAGTAGGGTACCCTTTATTTTTCGTTACAGCTTCACATCGACATTTCATTGAGCTGACAAGAGTTTTAAGCTCTTCTTTCGTTATTACATGATGCCAGGAAACAATTATAGCCTCAATTAGTTCCCTTTTATTTGATGGGCGCCTCATTCGGACAAGAGTTTTCAAACAGTGCCACAAGTTTTCGATAGGATTGAGGTCAGGACTGTTTCCTGACCATGACAACAATTTAATGCTCTTTGTATGAAACTACTCTTTTGATATTTTGGCGGTGTGGCAAGGAGCAGAGTCCTGCTGAAAAATAAATGAAGCATTGTTGGGAACGAGATCTCTGATGGAAGGTAGAAGTTTTGATTCTAGAATAGTGTCAATGTATTTTCTGGCATTCAGTGTCCCATCAATGACATGAAGGCGACCAATATCATCTGCTGACATGCATGACGAAATTATAACACTAACTGGGTTCTTCACAGTTGCTTGAATGCAGTCAGGATGTAGCTCTTCTCCTATTCTACGTCTTACATATTTTTCGCCCATCACTACCGAATAATGATATCTTAGTTTCATCACTCCATATAACTTGTGACCACTGATCATCTGTCCAATTAATGTGTTCCTTTGCCTACTGTAGTCTTTTTTTTCGTTGCTGAAAATTAAGATAAGGCTTTTTTCGTGGAATTCTATCTCTCAGTCCAACATCTGTTAATCTTCTGCTAATTGTTCTTGCACTGACAGAAACACCAACATCATTCAGATTACTTCTGATGGCCGCTGATGACATTTTTCTATCTTGGAGACATAGTCTTTTTATTCTTCTGTCATCAATAGATGTGGTGCACCTTTTTCGGCCTTTTCCTTCTTTGTTTTTTATTGAATTTGTCTCCTGATATCGTAAACAAAAACTTTCGGACTCCAGATGTAGTCACTGAACCACCCACCTGTCTTGCAATTTCAGCATAGGAAAGACCACTTTCTCGTAAGACAATAATATTACATCTCTTTCTAGGTGTCCAGTCTACTCTTTTATTTGTTGTCATTGCTTCTTGACTAAATATTAAAAATTTTTACAAATATTCCTACTTGTAAATTGTAGTGTATAAGAAACAGGTCCTTCTTCTACAGAACAAAGCAAAACAATGAACTATTTCAAGTGTAAACATGATGTCAGCTTCTACTGGCAGTTACTAACATTTGATTGGTTCTCAGAACAAACCACTTCATAACTGTGTTTTTTATTTATATTAAAGTACATATAACTTTTTTTGTATTGCAAATAATTGAATTTTGTGTTTTGTATTGAATTCAGTAATAAATTCTCTTTAATATGATATGTACAAGTTTGCATTTTGCAAAACGTAACATTTTCTATAAGCATACAAAGTTCAAAAACATAAAAATTTCCAAAAGTGTCCACAATTTTGGCCACCACTGTATATTCTCCATTTTTCTTCAGCGTGTGATCTGAAGTGATGTTGAGCCATGTCTTATCGTTTTTTATTATGCAACTTTGCAGTTATTTTATTTATTTATTTATTTTTTTGAATCAGACGTTCTATTTTCACACATTTTAAAAGTTCATTTTAGATGCATTATTTGATTGACTTCATCCCCTCAAGTACATAAAACTTAAAAACAGTTATGTATAATATTTTGGAGTGGCTGAACCATTTCCAACCCAGAGACTGCTCTTTTGGCAACATTTTTAAATTGCTGCTCGAAAGGGTTTCATGCCATAGCCATTTTCCAAACTTGTTTGTTAGATTTAAAAAAAAAAAAAAAATCTCATTCTTAAAAAGGGGGGGCATCTGTTTCGTTATTTGGAAAACTAAAGACTGTTTAATATCACATTAAAAAAAAGTGTGATTTAAAAAAATGAACATGAAGTGGGGAACATTGACAAAAAAGCAATATGATGGTGAATGAACGTATGCTGTTTCTTTAGGATGCAAATGCTTGATAATGTTTTACCATTTATCTTTTGTGACAGATCTTAGTCTTTCAGCAATTCATCTTTGGGATTAACTATAGTAAAGAAGTGTTAAGGGTCCTTGTAGTAAGGAAGTGTTAGTTTAAATGATATTTGTTTTATTTTTAATTTCTACATCTTGTATTATAAATTTTATTTATCATATGCTCCTTTGTGAAATTGACAGCAACGCACCTTTTGAAAAATGTTCTTGCCCGTAGTGGCTTGGAAAAAATCTTTGACTGTTGCCAGTGGATACCCTGTTCTGAAAAGAATCTGATTTGGCTATAAATCCTTTCCTTTGAAGTTTTTTTTTTTAATGCTTAATTTTGTATTTTTATCTCAATTTATATGGATGAGCAAAAGCCTTGTTAGGTAAGGTCACCGTGGGATGTTATCAAACGAAAAATTCTCTGTGGAAATACATGTTAGCTAGAAACATCTGTGTGGAACAGAAACATTAATAACCTAACAAGGTAAGCAACATCTGTAATTAAGGAAGAAAAAAGTCTTGCAGTATCTTTAGATAAAGTTTTTTGATGATAATTATGACCAAAGCTTTGTTTTCAGTGCAGTGCCTTTCATAGAGGCTATATTCAAGCACTACCTGATAAAAGATATTCCTGTAACTACTAACTGATAAGCAGAATAATAAAGTGCATTGTTTACTTATAGTATGATCTTGTTGCTGCAGTGAATTTTGCTGCACTGTATGTTATAAATGCAAACTAGTTCTGCATAGAAAATTATGTATGAAAAACAGATATATCCTATATGAATTCTCATTTCATCCTTAAAAAGATGACCCTTCTCTCTCCTCTGAAATAAATAAATAAATAAAAATAAAATCTGAAAGTTTTCAGATTTTAAATTATGTCCAAAGGGGCTTTTTTTAACGTTTTGTGTGTTACCTTTATTTATTAAATATCATGTTCTATGTACTCAAACTATAAAATTCAGTTCAACAGCAATATCACAAATTAATTTTAAAAATGAGCATATCTTTAGGATTTCTGATACAGAGTCTCGTGCGCTGGAGATAAAAGGGTTTTTTATTTTCCCATACGTGTTGCCATTGCTCACTTTGAAATCATTTAGTTTTGTAATCAAAAATTCGTTGAAGTGTTACAAAATCTGAAATTGATAATAAAACAAATTTCAAATTTAAATTACGGCTTCAGCATGCCCATATTCTATGGAAGATTACGTTACTCAAATTTTGATGGCTCTTGGTACTGTTGTTTTATAACAATGCGAGAAACATGCATATATTTATGCAGATTCTTCATTATTTAATTTCTTTATATGTAAGACGGCGATAATGTATGGTGGCAACGATTTGAAAAGTGCTACTGCCTTTTAAAGTTTTCGATGCAAAATGCCAAAACGAAATTAATAGTCCTCCAGGGCAAATTGGTGCTTTGGACTAAAAAATTATCAGAAAACTTTTTCTATAAAGCTTCAAGAAAAGGTGGTTTGACAGAATCCATATGTTGATTACATGAAAACTTGCATGATTTTCTGTATATACAGTCAAAAGTCGTTAATTCGGACACCCATAATTCAGAATGATCTATAATCCGGACCTCAAAACTAAAAACTTTCTGCGCATGCGCCCCGTTGACACATGCGCATAGGCGTTTACTCGTGCGCTTAAGACCTTTTACGACTGCGCATATGAGTGTGCGCAAGTGCAGAATACGTTTTCGCGTGCGCGTTTTATGTATAATGGACGTATAAGCTAAAATTATCTAATTATCTATTTCAGTTAATGTTGATGATTGCGTTGTTCCTCTATTTTCGAATTGGATCCGGTTTATTATTTTTTGCAGACTGTAAGAGCAATTTTATAAAAGTAAGCTTAAACTTTCGATTATATCAAATAGAATTTCCGATATATATTTGTTAATATGTAAAGGATCTAAAGCGAAAGTATGTTTTGAAATCCGAAATCTGTTTATCAATTTCATGCTGCTCGCCGGGAGGAACGCCCGCGGCGGGCACATAATGAATAGGAAGTTGATCTGTCAGCACTATCCTTATCTTCAGCGCAGATGTTTTTATTTTATTTGGCTTATAATTCCTTACCAAATGTAGTATTTCATTTCGATATGCTCCGTCTTTGATATGATTTAAAACAAGTTCCTCGTCATTATAATTCGCTTCCGATAGCAAAGAAAAGTGACAGAGGTTATTGAAAACGAAAAAATTTCGATTGACAAATTAGTCGGTGTTCTTGACACAGCAATTATAGGACTTGAACAGCGGAACTTTGTAACTGAACAAGAAATTATGTCTGTTTAATAGAATTAAAGAGAAAATATTATCACATGAAATGAAGCAAAACTTAAACAACTTACATTGAAAGAAATGTTTAATAAAGTAAACAAATAAACATTAAGCTTTTTCTTTTTGCAAATTTTGATACCCTTTAGATCATAATTGTTCTTTATTTCATAAATTACGGTTTCATATTTTTAATTTTAGAATTTCTGCATGCCATCTTACGAGATTTAAACTTATGATCTATAATCCGGAATTGCCGAAGTCCCGACGAGTCCGGATTAACGACTTTTGACTGTAGTAATATCAAATAAAAAAAAAAATTGTTTGGCACAAAATTCAGTTTAGTACAGAGACTGCTTGTCATGGTATAAAAGGGTGAGTTATGGAAATACAAGTTACTATACAATCTTATAGGATTTGGCACTTCTCTTAATGTCTCTCTCTTAGTTGCTTTTTTGTGCAAAATTCGTTATTTTGTTAATAAAATGATTCTGTTTCAGGTCTGGATCAGGACAATGCCGATAAGGAAATTAGTAAGCCTGCAGAAGTTTTTGTTAAAACTGAAAACATCAGTGAAGTTAAGAAATCAGAAGCTCTCCGGGAAAAACTAAAAGTCGTAAAAGAGAAGAGACTGATAGAAGAAAAACTAAGGTAATTTTTTTGCTTTTTTTTACCATTAAGAAAATATTTTTACTTTGCTTCAAATATAGTTTAGGCACCTGTAATATACATAAGTAGAATAATAAATCAAAATATTAATGAAGATGTGCATTTGACTTCTTTGTATAGCTGTATATGTGTCTGAGCTTTTTAAAAAAACTAATGTGAGAGATACTTTCTGATTATCTACACCCCACCAAAAAGTAATGAAAAGGTGCCATGAGGCAAAGCAGAGTGTCGCCAAAATTGAGAGTCAATTATGTCATTGTTAAATCTTTCAGCTAGTATTTATTTATAAAACTTTAAAAACTCTAATTGCTGCACCTTGGGAAATTAACAATAGCTGAACTTTTAAAATTGTTGCCACCTTCTAAGCATCTAATGTATTAAATTAATTTTGTAATCTACATTTTATTACAATGTAATCTACATTTTAATCTACCTTAATTTAATCTACATTACCTTAATCTAATCTTACCTTAATCTAATCTAATCTTAATTTAATCTACATTTGTAATCTACATTTTATTATAAAATTAATTTGTAATCTACAGATAAAAATTTCATTTTTTCTGCTTAGTCCTTTTCTTTTCATAGAATGAGCAAATGGAGTTAATTTCTATATTTTTAACAGAAAAACAAAAGGGGTCGCTGATTCTGATTCTGAGGAGGAATCAGCAGCTGCCTGGGTTATTAAACATCAGAAGATGTTGCAAGAAAAAGAAAGAGCTGAAAAGAGAGTAAGTTTTAATTTTTTTCCAAATAATTATTCAAAATATCAGAAGTTTTATATATTTTTCACAACACACCATGTGCAATGTATTTCATTTATTAATTGAAGGCTGATGTTATTATTTTAAAAAGAAGTTAATATTTAAAAATTGCATTAAATGTCTTCAAATTCTAATTGTAACATTAAATATTTAAGCAGATTCTTGTTTTAACTACTTACATTGAATCTTTACGTAGTCATTTTTTAGCATAGAACTTTCAAGGTAGTTGTATGCTAAAAATGCTACCAGTAAAGAACTTTTGAGACAGTAGAACAGTAGAACATAGTCTGAAATTAAATACGGAGACAAATTTGTAAAATGAAAAATATATGAAAGGCCTGGCTATTACTTTTTTTATATTAAAAAAAAAAAAATCCCTTTTTCATGAATTCACTGAGTGGTACTTTCTAACAAAGCCTGGAATGGCTTGTACAAATCTTATGATATTGCTTGAAGATCTGATGGTGCAGCTTTCTGGATATTTTAAGGGATGCAATCTTTCACTGGTAACATTTGTTTGTAAAAAAGAAAATAATTTTAGGGGAAGTCAGTTTGAAAAGTATGGTCGAGGGTTGAAACTAAACCTAAAAACGTAATTCAGCAGCACAACAACTTCACAGTCAACAGGATAATGCTTTACGTACACAAATTGTTGGCAAAGGTTTTACCATAATGACAAACATCATGAGCTAGATAATTAAAAAGAAGAAGAAGAAGAAAAGAAATAGAAAGATAAAAAAGAAAAGGAATTTTTTTCTTACAGTACAGTTTCTTGCATCGTATAACATGATGCTTTTGTTTCACATTTATCTCAAAAACTATGAATCATACAGTTATAGTTCATTGCCCATTTCAGTGTTGCTAACTCAGAAATGGAAGTCTCCTGATTTCTGGCTATACTCCACCCAACTCGATTTGAAACATATTTCTTCCGACTTGCTATTTTAAAAAAATTGTCACAATTTTTATATAGCTCGGCTGAATACTCAGTTATTTGTACCCAAAAAAGTGATTTTTGGCATCTGAAAGCACTTATTTTTTTTATTTCCCCCCCCCCCCCCCCCCCCGATACATATAAAAGAAATTCAAAGTAGTTTCATCAGTAAGATATGGTGCGTTTCTGCTTTGTGTGTAAGAGTCCGAAACCTGTGTCCAAAAATGTCGTATTCCAATTCTTTAATGAGAATCAAGCACCAGTGCAAGTCATTTGACATATATTAGCCAGTGAGCACAAAGCAAAATCGAGGTTGTTAATTTCATTCATCTCTCCAGTAAGCAATGTATTTCATATGCTTCTCGAAAACAGTTTAAGAAACTGCAATTTTTTGTCTTAGTTATGTTTGTGAAAAATGTAAAATACTCATGTACTTTTCAAAAACTGCACACAGACAATTTTCCTTTTATTATTTTGTCAAGGAAATGTATTATTGCAATATGTATCATTTGTCACTGCAATTTTTTTGGATTTTGCATGGTGCAAGGGCCAATGCTCTTAAACATTTGCGTACACAAGACAGGGTGAGTTGCATTTTGGGGGGGGGGGGGAATTAAAATTTTCTGTGGAAACAAAGGACCAAAAAAGTTATTAATACAGAATACCTGTTCTGTACCTTTTTACTGGAACACAACCTGCCACTGAATGCATCGGATCATGCTGCAGCTGTTTTAGAAAAATGTATCCCGGTAGTAAAATCACTAAGAACTCATGTAAAAGGACAAAAAGGGCTGCAACTGTAGAAGAAATGGCTTCAAGAAATTGGTATGAAAAATAAATATTCAGTTTATGATTGCATTAAAACAGTTCCATTTTGCCTCTCTACTGATGGATACCAATGCAAAACTGTATCGAGTTGTTTCTTTTTTTCTTTTTTTTTTTTTTTTAATCGAGAGTTTTCAGAAATTGAATGTAGTTTACTTTCTGTCCGTACTTTAGAAGGATATTCGACAGGTTTTAATATATGGCATGGGAAAGTACAGTTCTTCAGGATAATTATTCAAATGCACCAGGAATGGCAGGCTTTAAAGACTGATGTTGCAAAGCATCTTAAAAAAAAATCATATTTGCAAATTATGAATTGTGTACCCGTCACCTCTTAAATTTAGCAGTTGAAGAAAGGTCAACTTCTTTGCCAGTAAGTCAGGGTTCGTACGGTCCTTAAGAGTCCTTAAATTTTTTGGAATCGATTTTTGGTCCTTAAAAGTCCATAATTTTGGCCAAAATCAGCAGAAGGTCCTTAATTTTAATCATCTGAAATTTCTGTCTCTTTTTATGACTGCAATTTTGAGTGTGAATTAGCATTTTGGAGGAATATTTTTGGCGATTCACTGACACATATGGTTATCTTTGAATGGGTTATAATGTTTCTATTTCTAATATAAATAATGGGATACTCGAGTTTCTAAGCAGAAGTGAACATAAGCATTTCAAAATTCATTTCTAATAAAGAAAATCTTAAACAACTTTTTCGCTTTTGGGGATGTGAATTCTTTTATTAAATGTTTTCTAAATTTGGCAACTTGTCAACATTTTGGCGATTTTAAGATCAGTGTCTATAGAAAAATTTTAATTCCGAGATCTGAGAATTTTTCGACGATTTTTTTTAAAACATCATAACATTGATAATTTTCATTAAATAATGGTAATATATTGAAATTATATTTAAAAAATGGCATTAAAATAAAGCATCTCTATTTTTCGCTGTCATATTTTAAAGTTTCATTTTTGGCAACTTATACAATAGTATGAATCTGAAAAATAAGGCATAATGCTATAAAGCGTAATTTATGAAACATCTCTTAACAAGAGCAAAATTAGCTATGTAATTAATTAAAAATGTCTTCTTTTTAATTTTTTCATAGTAAGCATTTTTCCTGTCTCAGAATATTCAAAATTCTCAGAATATGCATCAGTTTTCTCTATAAAATTAATTTTACACTTTTTCTCTCCCCCTTTTTCCCCCAAAAAAGTATTTCTTCCTTTTTGCTGTTACAGAATTGGTAGGTATAATTTTTCTCTAGTATTTTAGACATTGCAGCTTGGAAAGTTTAGAAGGATTTGAAGGCAAGATTTATAGACTCACGATTCTAGAAGATTCGAGAAATATGTGACAAAATGAAAAATGTCTCCATGCTATCAACACGTAATGGATGTATTTTACAGAAAGTTTGCTATGAATTTCTTGCCTTTTGGAGAACGTCAGGAAGAACAATGAAAACATAATATTTGAATGTTTTACTTCTGATACTAGAATCTTTTTCATAACATGTTTATCTTCCCTTTATTTTCTCTACTTCTCAATAGACACAAGTATGGAAAATATCAAAACAGCTTCTAATCTTATCACATGGCCAGACATTATAGAAAGAGATTTTTTTTATTATTAAAGAAATCGAAAATTTACAATTTAAAAGATTCATCTAATATGTCTTAATTCATCAACACATAGCTGGCACTAGACATTTTCCACCTGATGCAATCTCTGTGGATCCTAAATTCTGCTGCTTAGAGCCTTTCTAAATTCTGCTTTCAATGCCTGCTCTAAATTCTAAAAGTTTTGCTATTTCTAGATTTTGTTGTTCAGTGTGTCACTAAGTTCTAAAAATTCTGCCACATCAGCTTTGTATCTATGGTAAAGCCCGGTTTTACAAAATATCTAAACAAATAAAATTAGTCACTTCTTCTATACATTCTAAATGCATTTGGTGTTTTTTAGAATAACAGAAATCCTTAGTTAGACCCAAAAATTCTAAAATGAAAAGGAAACGTGTTGAAGAAAGAAACTGAGTACATTAAAAAAAATTACTCTTCAAAGATATGTGCAGTTGTTATTATGTAACTTACCTATTGTTTATGATTTCAGCCCTTCAGCTTATGATTCAGTCGAGGGTTTGGGACTATTTGACTTTTTCCAGATAAAGTAAGGGCCCACCAGCGGCCGAGCTGTAGTTCGGTCCGAGGTTCGAATTCCGCGAACGGGCTGGCATCATGTGCATTTTCGAGGTTTCCCTATGTGTAATGTGTATACAAGCCACTTTCCCTTAGAAAGTCCTCCACGAAGGCATCCCTCCCCTTAGGCAGGGGTAGCCCTAGTGTGCTTTGCCGTATTCTCCATACACACACACACACACACACACCAGATAAAGTAAACCCTCATAGGTACCTTGTGGAGAGGTTGACAAGTTAGAAGATAAGCATGCAGAAACTAGCGAGAGCATTGGTTTGCATATTGAGACAAATCTCTAATTGTTAGAAAAGATGCTTAAAGAGAAGGAAATCGATATAAACTAGCCAAAATGTGTGGGAAGGCTTCAAATTAAAATGAAGGATAAATATTTCGTTGAGTGTTGCTGTTACAAAACATAATTGTTTTGTAGCTTTTAATGTATATCCTAATATCCTTTAAAAATCAATGTCATAAATTATATATTTTAAACTGTGAAATTTTATTAGATTGTGATTTTAGTAGAGCTTTTTTTAACCAAATATTATTTAAAAATAAATAAAAGTTAATAGTGTCCATGTAAATCCATTATGACTAAGGTTATCTAACTACCTAATTTATTTATTTATAACTAACTGCTTACTCTTGAAAATTATGTCTGCATATTAAAGTGAGTTACCGCCTTCATTAATCCTTACTGTGTGGTCACCAAGATAAAACACAAAAATGTTAAAATTCTTGATAAAACTTATTCTTTGCATCTAGTGAGAACTTATAATATTACAAAACAACTTATCATCTGTGGTGCTTTAGTAGCTTATTGGAACCTTAAGGTATATTAACGGATTAGAATCCTTGTTGAACTCTACACGAAGCTATGACACTAACTGCATCAGACAGAGTCCCGACTAACTTTCAACAACTTGCCAACCATGCCTATATCAGGCCTTTCAGGTTTGTTCTAATGAGCAGGTCTCTCTCTAGACAAGCAACAGCGGTGACAACCTTCAGTTCTTCATACTGATTATGATCTTACTTCTCATTTGAACCTATACCTTTTGACAGAAAATCTACCTGCTATTTACTATACCTCTAACTAAGTATGTGACAAAATGAGACATAAAAAAAATCACATACTATACTAAGTCACATACTAAGTATGTGTGTCTTATAGTACTTAGTAATTTGTCACATACTAAGTATTTTGTCACATACTATACTAAGTATGTGACAAAATGAGACATTAAAAAAATCAGCATAAAGCTAACTGTTAGTAAAACACAAATGTCACTTATCTTCTTTCAAATATGTCCAATTATTATAAGTGTAAAATAGTTAATGCTAGTTGATAAATTTCATGCAGTTTATTTTATTCTCAAAAAACTTATTAATAATTATGTTAATTAACTCATGTTTAGTAATAATGCATACTAGTCATGGATCTATTTTATTTTTAGAATAGTATTACAAAAGTGAAAATGAGGCATAGAATAATATTTTTAATTGAATTTATTCAGTTCCCATTTGCTCATAGGTCCTTAATTTTTGCATTAATTGTCCTTAAAAGTCCTTAATTTCCATGTGCAGAAATGTGCACGAACCCTGTAAGTGTGGATGAACATATTGTTAATATTTATTATTATCTTGGAATGATTTGCTAAAAGGAAGGAAAAATTGAAACAATTCCAACAGCTGCATAATGCTGAAATAAGAAAAAATCTGGAATATGTATGTACCACCTGTTATCTTTAGTGAAATATTTATCCAGAATACTTGACCAATGGAACCCACTTCTTACATTTTTTTAAGGAAAAAGCAAATACTTCTAGAATTAAGGTAAAAAGCTTTGTTGAAAGTTATAAAATGACTTAAGTAAATGGAGATGTAATTATTACTTCTGCTGTTAAAAATAGACGAGAAATATAAGTAATTTATGCACCTGCGAGCAATTTAATTGGCAGTCCTCAAAATAATACTACAAAATATAAGCGTAAAACTCTTCCAAAATAAAATAAAAAATTGCTTGACAAGGGACAAATTTTCCGATTAGTGTAAGTTTATCTTGTGAAGAATGAATGTGTTTTAGTCTTTGGACCTTAACAAAGCTTTTGTTTTTTGTACATTCTATTTTGCCATCATTCGATATTCCTAACACAATTCTACAGTGCAGAATTACATTAACTCATGTTTTGCAATCAATAATTAGTGATCTCGTTAAAGTATGATTTAATGATTAGGGAAACAGATTAGAGTATTTTTCTATTTTTAGAAAGTATAAGTAATAAAGCTACATTAGGTATAAGTAACAAGCCTTTTGTTTCACATGTAAGTATTTTTTAATATATTTGCATTTAAGAAATAGTAACTGAACTTTCAGATATTAATTAGCTACTATTTAAAGTTAATTCATTATTAAAAATATATTTTCTGTCTATATATTTTTATTATTTAAAAAATCTTTGTTGCTGAGAAAATTTTCCTGACTTTTTATTGTCATAGGTTGGCAAGTATGCCATTTTTAATGTATTTCAGGTAATTTTCAGGCTGATTTTTATTCCTTTCAGGTAAAATATGCTTGAATTGTTAAATATTCTGAATAGTGGATAATTTTACAAGGAAATTCTGAATTCTACCCAATTTAAATTCCTTATAATTTCCAGAAATTTGTTAAAGCAGTCGAAATTTTACTGCTTATCAGTCTTATGTGAGATGTAAAAGGCCAAATAGAATTTTAAATCCTTAATTTACTGTTAGAGAACGTATGCTAAATATGCTTTTGAGGCCTTTCCACATTCCACACATTCCTTATCTGCCACAGTTTTTCTACAAACACATCTAAAACCACCTGACTTTCATTTTTTAGTCATAATTTTATTTCAGAATTACATTTCTTACATGAAAATTTCCTTTTAGTTAACTCTGCTTCTTTAAAAAAGCCCCGAAACAACTTCTGATCCTGAAGGTCAGTTTACACCTGTCAGAGCGGCTCAGAGCAAGTCGCTCCTTACGATTACTTTGACAATGTAAACGCTCACTTCGACGGAGTACAAACATAGGGAAGATGAGTCAACGCTTCCGTTTTACTTTGAAATGTTGAAAAATCTCTCGGGCAGTATCCAAGCAGCGTTCGCAGGGATGTCGGATGAAGTGAAAGTTCTATAATCCGAATTAAGCGACAGCCAAACCATGGCATTTTTTAATGCTACGCATCTTATGAAGTGTTTACTTCGATAATTATGTGAGCTTATATCATTTTTCACAAGCTCCCACATGAGGATGCATAAAAAATATGATAACTATAAAAATAAAAAATAAGAAAAATTATGAAAAAACGATATGTAGATCTGTTTTATTGGGGATATTTAAATTTCTGCTTGTATAAAAAACATTCGGGGCTATAATTCGTTACCATTCAGCTGGATGTGAAACATGTTCAGCTTGGATGTGTGAGTGCAAGTACTGAAGGTGTATTAAGTTTTATACAAATTATACTAGATGAATTCTAATCTTCTTAAACTATCCGTTTTAGCATTTAAAAGTAAAGCATAATCGCTATATTTAATCATTATTAATTTTGTTGATATCAGTTTGTGTATTGTCTAGAAACACAATTTCAGTAGGATCCAAAAGTAACAATTTGCGGTAAATATCTTTCTGTTGGAACTATGTCACAATATGTATATTCTTTTACCTGTGGTAATGTATGTAATGCTCCCAAGTTTTTTGCTACTTCTTATTTAAGATTTTCTGAATAATTAGGTTAGGATCATACAGTTTACTTCTGTCGTGTTATGGTAGCTGTGAATAAATATTCCATGTGTTAATTTGCCTTCTTCTCTAGAAATAACACAGTTCCAGTCAGAACTCTGCATAATTAATTATGCACAGAGAGATACTGATTCTGTGGATCGGATGAATACATATATTCTTTCTATTAATAAATAATAAAACACACTTTTACATTATTTTGTAAATAAAACAGTTGATATAGTAGAAAAACTTTGTTAATTTACTTCAGTACCACAGTTGACTAAATAACTTCTCTCAAACTGAGTTCTTTTAAATCTTGTCTGATATGCAGTAACGTTTTGTAATTTGGACATTCTCGTACGAAATTCATTTAATAGTTCATTTGATACTCCAATTCATGCGGCAAGCACCAATAACGTACCCATTTTTTTTTCCTTCTTTTTTTTTTTTTCCTCCCAAGACCAGAAATTAATTTGTTTGAAACTGCTTCGCAGACTTCAAGCACTGCAGCCTAAGAATATCTATGTATGTTCAATGCATATTCTTTCATGCAGCTGCGACATCGGTATCCATTTTGTAAACAAACAGAGGCGAGTTGTCAGTCCACTCTGATTGGTGTAAACAATCTATCAGAGTACAGGTCCGTTCACTCGGTTCGAAAAGCCCGGACGAGCGGCTCGCTACAAGCACCTTTGACAGATGTAAACTGGCCTTGATACAAATCTGAAATAAACGACCTGTTGACAATCCCATGTTTTCCAAAGCTATCATTCCTTTCAATAGCTTTAATTTTTCCTCTAGCACTCCCTGAAACTTCTCTACTATGTTTAAAACAAAAAATATGGTAAAATACAATGTATGTAATCCAAAATAATCAATAAAAAATGTAATAAAAGAAAGCTATATAACCGTGTTACATCCAGGGAAGAAAATGGCATCCTTAAGTTTAAAACACATGGGACTGCAGTAGGGTTGCTGTAATGGAATATTCTAGAATTTGCTGAGTTACCAGAAGCAACTGTGTGAAAAGTGTGCTAACTGTGAAAGTCACTAATGGAGTCCTCTATTCAAGCTGTATGTATTGATACAAATATTGCATTTCTTCATAAAGACAGAATTTTGTCCAATGGTAGGTAACCTAGGCAGTGTCCTCCAGCTGTGAAAATGTAAATATCATCTGGTTTTTTGCTTTTTCATGTGAATATTTTTGTTTTGAGGTGTTTCTTTTAATGATTATTATTAGCAGTAGTAATTATGAAATGATGGATTTGGAAAGCTTTTATTTATCGTCAGTGTTACATGATTACAGTAGCAATGTAACTTGAAAGTAGTATATCAGCTGTTTTCATGTGATTGTGGTAATGGCTTTAGCTGAATTTGTGCAGTTATCTTATTTTTTAAATGAAAAAAGGTCGATCAGTACATGAGACATGCATGCTGTTTTATGTAATTCTTAGTTTGGCACATTTTGAAAACGACTGTGATTTTTTGCACATTATGTGGTAAAAAATTAGGAGCCAAGATTGATGATTTTTCAGGAGGGTTGGGCACATAATCAGATCTGATAACATTTACATCACATAGTGTTGGACGATTCCAGTATCTTACTTTAGGTTAACGGGACTAATAGCACATGCACTGTAACAATGGAACTTGGATTCAGTCATTTGCAATCTTAGATGGACTGTATGTGTTTCTTCTCTTTGCAGTGAAATGAACTCCCTTTTTCTCAACATTTGATTGAGGTCAAGTATCTTCTCTTAGTGGACAAATTATACCAAAATTTTATACTGTATTTTTATTCTGAAAATTCTTCAGATGTCTAAGTTTGGCAGGTTGTTATATAAGCATTTTTTGAACAGACTGCATTAAATTTGCTTTTATGCAAAAATTTTGTATATCCTGGTTACAGTTTCTCCATTGTATTCAAAAGAATCTAGTATCTGGGACAAAAAATCTTGCAAATGTATTTCATAATACTATTAGTTTCTGCAGTGGGGGAATTTCATGAGTCATATGTTCTTTTTTCATCAAATTATTATTATGTTCTTATAGTGAAATATTGTACAATTATAAAGTTTGAGTTTTATATGTTATGTATATCTTTTTAGGCTAAAATGTTAGAAGAAATGGATGAAGAATTTGGAATTGGTGCTTTAGTAGAAGAAGAATTTGATAAGAAGAAGGTAAAGTTTTATTAAGCTTTACTTAAAAAAAAAAAAAAAAAAAAAAAAAAAAATGTGGTGTTTATTTGTGTTTCTTTCATCTTAGGCATATACATCTCAAGATTTGGAAGGACTAACTATAGGTCATGATGCCGATGCTTTTAAAGAAGGTCATCAAGTCATCTTAACACTAAAAGATAAAGGTATTTTAATGTTTACTTCCTTATCATTTAAATAAATATTCTAATTTTAAAATTAAATATTTATATCTGCAATTTAAGTTATGCAAATAGACTTAATTTGAAGCAGTTCTTGATGCATGCTGCAAACGTCTGTTCTTTTTCTCAAAGGTGTTCTTGAAGAGGATGAAGATGTTTTAGAGAATGTGAATATTGTTGACAGTGAGCGATATGCTAAAAATGTCGAAAATAAGAAGAAGAAACCAGATTATAGGCCATATGAAGAGCCTGAATATGATGAATTTGGAATTGTAAGTGACATTTTAATATTTTATCTTCTTTTTTGTGTATAAATGTTCAAAAGCAAAATTTTGCTTTTTTGAACACATAAAATGTACGCATATATAAATATGCATAAAATATACATATGTATATTTTATGCATATTTAAGTCTAAAGTTATAAAGAGTCTTCTTACACTAATAATATTTTGTAGTGTATGTGCGATTGGGGATAAAAATTATTTTCCCCATTACTATAACATGTTTATTTGTTCAGTTTAGTAGTAAAATTTATCCTTGTAAGGAAAGTTAAAGTTATGATATTTGGAAAAATATATGCTTGTGTAATAGATTATGTTTGTTTTACAAAATGTGTTGTTGAATATATATTAACTTCAGTAATATATTGTTTTATATGAATAATTATTCCATCTTTATAACACAGGCTTAATCATATTATATTTGGATTATGTAATAAAAGTGCAGTGTTTGTAAGAGATATACTATTATTATCAAGTGCACTTAACATCAATGTAGACTAATTTTCCAAAGATTAAATGCTTCAAACTATACATTTCTTGAAATCAATGAAAAGTATGCTTTTAAGCTTACAAAGCACATCGTATGTGTTCTTCCTCTAGAAGAGAATTTTGAACTCTGTAAATCATTTGAATGCAATGGCTTGAGATGGAACTTTATTTTCATGTGCTAATTATAGATGTTAAATGCATCCTTCTTGATTTAGCTCCTCCCCTTTTAAATCATAGAAAATCATAGCATGATAATATTCTTGCATCAGCTCCATTTTTCGTTTTATTCAAAATTTATTCTATGATAGATAAATATCAGTTATTGCCAGAAATTATCTTTTGTGGACTTACAGAGTCCACAAACGTTTGTATCATTAGTGGATTAACATTCTAATGAATGTTTTTAGCACATATTTTCTGCCTCTGTCTAAAAAAATTCAGAGCTCTCTTTTGTATTCCATTTCATGAATAGCCACGGATTTATTCCATTTCAAGGAAGTGAAACAAAAGGATATTAATCTTGTAACTTTCCCTTTTAAAAGGGGGGAACCCCTTTCCTTTTAAGTTTATTTTGAGGCCAGGAAAATTAGTAAGGATTACATGATTAGGCATTTGTTGAATGATAAGCAGTTCCAGTTATATTCTTCCATAATGAAGATATTTATACAGAAAGCCATTGTTTTATTTTATAATCTTATTATATATATTTTTATGTGTATGAATCCCATTAACCAACAAGTGCTGCAAATTTAAATAAAACTTTGCATACCTTATTTAAAGCAATTTCTACAGTTTATTGGGAAAATGCTATTAGTAAGAATAGAAGGAATGCTAGAAACAAGAATATAAACACATATAGAAAAAGATGTAGTTTGAATCTAGAAACTAGGAATCAAATTTTCTGGCTGCTGATACCTGATTTCTTATCCCATATTTATCACTATTTGTTAAGGATGTGAGCTCAGTTGAAGGATTTCCTGTAGCCTAAGACTGCATTGTAACAGCTTTAAATATTAAAATCTTGTAGTTTAAATAATTTAAATAGATGAACATTAAGGTATTTGTGAATGGCAATGGTTGAAACCAGGCTCGAGTGCCATGTGCGGGTTTCGCACGAAAAATGTAATTTATTTTTAAATGTTAAAATTCGTTTAATTCTTCTGGTTTGTATGTCGCCATTTTGTGTATTAAATAAAGATTGCTGTGTTCCATCATTGGAGTTTGTTTCAAATTGTTAAAGAAGTAAAGTCTTAAGTATTTTTGAGGCACCGACCGAGATCGAATAATCTTGCATATTTTTATTTTATTAGTTCATCACTGAATGTAATATTAGTGATACCAGATTATTACTTCCTGTTAATTTTGAATTGCCTTATGTTATTAGTTCATCACTGAACGTAATATTAATGATACCAGATTATTACTTCCTGATAATATTGAATTGCTTTAATTTATTGGTTCATTACTGAATTAGAGATTACCTCCTGTTAATATTGAATTTTGTTACCATATTGGATATTATTTTTAATATTTATTTTCGTTGTCCAATAGTAGACATATACATTGCTCTATGTTGTATTTTTATTTTACTCACAATTAATGTGATAGACAGTATGAATTTCATATAATTTAAATATTTCATTTTTGAGTTTTGCGTATTTAACAGAGTGCATTTAATTCCATGATTCCTGACTGTATTAATTAATTAAAGTAACTGATTTGAGCTATTTGAGGAAGTATAAAGAACACAGTGTTCGTTAATTTTAAATATAGAAACAATGTCTTACTTAGAAAGAGCTCGTAAGGAAGAGTTGCAAAATCTCGCAGCTGAACTGGGAGTTCATGTGAGTGCAGATTTGAAAATAGTCAATTTAAAACAAAACAAAACAAAACAAAAAAAACTGTTGAAAGTAGAGATTATGATGAAGTACCGGGTGGCCATAATTAAACTGACAGTGCTCACAGTGTTCTGTAGCACGATCTATTTGCGAGAATGATGCCACATTTTGTAAGAAGACGGACTTGTTTAAACAAGACGGAAGACGAAGGATTCCGCGAAAAAACAAATTAGTTCCAAAAGTCACCGCTAGGGGAATATTTGGCGCTGTATAATAGAAAATAGAGTGTTAACAAAATTCCTTTTATTATGCACATTTTCTGATTTAGTTCAAAATGCAATATGGCAACACTTTTAAAAAAACGTAAAATCTACATAAACACCGATAAAGTCTCGTGATCTGCAATTTATATCACGTACGCTGAGCAGAAGAAGAAGTTCTTTATTCAAACTTCACGTTACATCCATTCGCACAGTGCTAGCTGCTTGGATTTTAAAAGGCAATGTGTTACGTTTCGAAATCAATCGGATTGAAAGTTTATGTGCAATGTTTCCTTCTTTAGTTGAGCGTGCGTTACTGGTCAAATTCTTTTACCTGAACCAGTGCCAACGCGTCAGCCGCTCTTCGTGCTTTTAGAAACTCGCACAAAAAAAAAAAGGTGCGGCCCTGTGACAGTTAATTGGGCTAAAAGCAATGGTTGCGATGTTAGAGAAAACAGGTTCTCTGAAGGTTCAGTCAGGCAGAGGACGAAATACCTTGTACCACAGGATACAATCGAAGCAGCTGCCACGACGATTGTCGACAGAGGACCAGAACAATATTGCTGCCACCTCTAGTACTCGTGGAGTAGCTCGGAATATGGATATGCCTTTACAGTACGGTATGGAAAGTCTTACGAAAGATTATCCAACTTTTATCCGTACGAGATCAGCCGTGTACAGGAGTTACTGTACCCCGACCTGGATAACCGATTGATTTTTGCTCTTACCTTTCTTGCCAGAATGGAGGTGGATGATGCTTGGCCGTGGGAAATCTTATGGGGAGACGAGGCCCACTTTTACCTCAATGGAACCCAGAACAGCCGAATTTGGGATGACAAATCGCCACATGCAGTCACAGCAATTCCCTTACATTCACCAAAGGTAACTGTTTGGTGTGGGTTCACAGCGGAATATATCGTAGGTCCATTCTTCTATGAGAACATTACCCCGACAGGACTGAAAACCTGTTCTGTTACCTTAGAGAACTATTCCCACATGTTGAACAGCTTTGTCATTCTGGCACTTCAGGAAAGACAATGCCTGGGGAAATCATTTTCATGCAAGATGGAGCCCCTCCACACTTTGCTGTACGGGTGCAACAGATGCTACAACAGAAAGAGTCATTAGCCGCTACTCGGACTGTACAGGAGATTCCTGCAGACATGTTACTTTCTGCTGTTGTGTATACTGTGCACAGAATGCAATATGTGGTCCACAACAACGGCAGCCACATTGAACCTCATTTGAATGCAAAATAAAAGGTAAAGGGGACTTTGAACTAATTTGTTTTTTCGCGTAATCCTTCGTCCCCCGTCTTGTTATCTTTCTAAAAATGGGTCTTCTTGCAATAGATGGCACTAAGAACATTTGAGCACTGTCGTTATTTGGCCCCTACTGTCAAAGGAGTTTAGACACAATAAGAAAGAACGGAAAGAAAGGGAGGAAAGAGAAGAACGTAGAAGACAGGAAAAAGCAGAAGAGCGGAGAAGGAAAGAACAGTATGAATCTAAGAGATTAAGACTTGAAGCAGAGACAAAGTCTCAAAATACCGGACAGATCCGGCCGAAAAAAGGAGCTGCGTCACCTTATGCAGAAATTCGATGACAAGAAAGGAGATATCAGTCTATATTTGCTATTGTTTGAAAGGCAAGCAGAATGGGCTCAAATTGATAAAGAAGAATTTGTATCTCATTTACTAGGACTACTTCCTTACGAAGTAACCCAGTTAATAGCTAGAGAACCCTCCGATAAAGCTAAAGACTATGAACACGTGAAGAATTTATTGTTAAGATTGTTTAAACTAAGCCCGGAAAAGTTTAGGCAGAAATTTATGAAACATCAAAAGAGTACCGAATCCCCATGGGTGGATTATGAAATAGAAAATTATTGCAAAGAATGGGTGACTGGTCTAGTAGTTAAGACTTTTGATCGGTTGCTAGATTTGATGGTGCTTGACCAACTTAAACGTCGAGTTCCTCCTGAAATTCGAGATCATTTTCTTGATGAGTGGGTAGAGAGATGATTTCATCTAAAAAATTAGCTGAAAAACTTGATGCCTATGAAAACGTTTGCGGAAACTTTCAAAAAAAGCCTGTAGTGGATCGGCAGAAAGAAAGAAAGACACAATGCACTAACTCAAGGTAAATTGAGTTCAGATAATAAAAATAAAACTGAAAAAAAAATTGTCATCAGGATTTAATTCGCAAAGCTGGTTTCATAGACCTAGAAGTCCACGTCCAGATGATAAATATGAAAACGCCACAATGCTATCAGTGTGGGTCCTATCAACATTTAAGACCCCAATGTCCAAACTTAAGAATAGTACTGAATCTCCTGCTAATCTTAACAGAATTAGTGCAAAACCAGAGGATAAATTTCTATTACCTTATACTAGTATGGGTTACGTAAATGGTCAAATTCCTATAGTAAGGGATTCAGGTGCTAGTATTGATATAGTTTGTCGCAAATACATCACGCCGGAAATGCTGACAGGTGAAAATGTGTGGTGCAACAGCCATTAGATTTGAATCCAACCTGTTTACCATTGGCTGAGATCGAACTAAATTGCGATCTTGGGCGAGTAATAACTAAGGCTGCCATTATTAGAAATGAACTCGACAAAGGAAGGTATTTATTAGGCAATCGATCTTTTGCACTGTTGAATAAACAAAGAAAAGAACCTGATAGTCATCCTCACCAGGTTAATGCCGTCTCTACTAGAGCTCAAAGGAAAAGAAAAATAGCTGAAGAGAAGATCTTGGAATCGATGAAGGAAGAAAATAAAGCATCCAGAGATGTCTTTGAAGAAGAAGTTAAATCACTGGAATTAAACGTGGAAGATGTTCACGAAAATTTGAAAAACTGTAAAGAAATTAATATTGAGAATCATTTTGCAATGCAGTGTTGTTATCATCTTTTGGCTTTCTATTTAATATCAAAGCCGCTACTAATAGACGAAGAAAACAATTGTCGAAAGCAAATGACAATTGAATATTATCCGAAAGGCACAGATGAACTGGAGTTTGCTTCAAATTGTTAAAGAAGTATTGCAGCATATAAAGTTCCTTCAGAATTATATGCTTTCTCTGTACTTAAGTGCATCTGGCCTGAAATTGGAGAGGGCCTGAAGTGACCATGCATAAGAACACAGTATTGACTATGTTTACACTACTGTATTTCAGTTGATTTTATTTGAATCACAAAACTTAATTTTTTTCTTTAGGTCTCTTTAAATTTTGAATGCCGAATGAGCAGATAGAGGGACACAACTGTATCATTGGGTTGTGTCTAAAATAATATTTACTAGAAAAACTCCTGGTATTTTGCATTAAAATCCAATAATCATCATCTGCTCGGAATGCAAGTTCAGTTGAAGGGTTTCCTGTAACCTAATACTGCATATAAAGTTCCTCAAGTATTATATGCATTCTCCATCATATATGACATATAACGATGCATTATATGCATATATCCTTGCAGTAAGACCAAAGAGCATCTGGGATGGGGAATAGCCGGTGGTCTTGTGCATAGCACTGCAATAAGCCAGTAAAAGCAGTTACTTTGTTAAAAATAACTTCACAATAAAAAGTCTTATTTCTTTCTTTTCTCTTAGTGCTACAATTTCTATACATACTTTTCATTAATGTAAATAAGTCATAACACATGATTGTTTAAAATGTAAGCTTTTTTAAACCCTCTGAGTTTTGTGACGGGCTTTATCCGATCATGAGATTTTTTGTCACTTGGTCTATATTAGCTCATAATTTAAGATATTTTTCTTTCTTAGTTTCTTTAATAATGTAAATATCATCTTAAAAATGAAAGTTTATGAAGATAGTAAAGCAAGTAATTATACAAATTTAGCTAATAAATGCTGTTTAAATATAGGTTTTTCTTGACAGATACAAAAGCGTGCCACTCAGAGGGTTATTTTAATGTAATCTTTTATGGGTTTATATATATATGTATACATACACACATATTAATATAGATATATTTGGTCTATATAGCTGAAGAAAAAGAATTTGCTTTCTAAATATGATGAAGAAATAGAAGGGGAGAAAAAGAAGGCTTTCAAAATTGGTAAGTCATTGAAGTTCTTTCAGGAGTTTGCATTGAAAGATATTTATAGAAGCAGAAAATTGAGTAATATGCCTTTTTTGCTCTTGGGAGAGTAGAGTTTCCAATCTGTAATTATAACTATGTATTGTTCAACTTGAAACTAAAGTAGGCTCGCTAACTTTTTGAGTTAATCAAAAATGTATTAACAGTGAAGTTTGAAACCTGAAAGTTATAATTGATACTGCAGAACTGCCAACCATGTTAGTAAAACCAGATTCTCTTTGGGTCTTGATTCCTTGGGAAAAATTTAAAATCTTTTAGTTGTTAATTTATGTACATAAGTAAAAGTAATAATTGATACTGCAGAACTGCCACCCATGCTAATAAAACCAGATTCCCTTTGGGTCTTAATCCCTTATAAAAGTTTTAAATCTTTTAGTTGTTAATTTATATACATAAGTATCAAACAAAAAGAATATTCATCAGTAAATGAAATGGAAAGAAAATTTTGATACTTAAGAAAATCTGAAGTAATAACACTATTATCTTGCAACAAAGCTTAAGACTGTGCAAGTTCCATTTTTCTTAAATGATTTTCAGTGTAGTTTTTCTGATTAAATTTTATTTTTTCTGATTAGTCCTATTAATGTTTTGTTTAAATATGCTAAATCTCTTTCCCCCCCTTGAATTCTAATAAAAATGTACATTTAATTTGTATTATATTAATACTTATAACTAAAAGTTTTTCATCAAAAGTCTGTTGACTTCTTAAAAAAAAACTTTTTTAACATTTCAGAATTTAGCAGGTGGTGTAACATTACTGAGGTGGTTGTTTGACAATTATATATTATTTAATAGAATAGATATAACTAGCCTTTTCAAATATAAATAAAGCTGTCATTCATGACATAATTTTATCACAGTTAATTGGGGAGGAAATCCATTGTTTCATACATTGCATTGAAAAGTGAACGAATTTCATTTCTGATTTTGTTTATTACTTCAGAGTTGCCAGCTCTCCCGATTTAGGCGGGAGACTCCCGACTTTCGACCGATCTCCCGCCAACCCGATTTACAATATATTTCTCCCGACTTTTTCTTATTCTTAAAATTTCTCACGATTTTTATGGAACTTGGCTTAATACTTTGTTATATGAAAAAAAGTGATTTTGGACGTCTGAAAGCAATTGAATTTTCTCTAGATTATATCTAAAACAAAACCTTACGAATCAGATAACTTATGCTTTGTGAGTGAGAGCATTATACGTATCCCAGAAACGTCATTCTCCAGTTCTCCAATGGGCATCGAACTCCACTGCGTGTCAGCTGGCATATATTAGCCAATGAGGACAAGGCAAGCTGTTATTTGGATGTTCTTTAGTTATTTCGTTCAATTTGTGCTGAGTTGTGAGTGCACGTGCCTTCGGGAAATAGTTTTAGAAATTATCATCTTTTGTTATGTCTGCGAGAATGAAATACTCGTGTACGTTTCAAAAATCGTACACAGTTGACTTTCCTTCCATTATTTCCTCAAGGAAATGTAATAAATTTGCGATGTGCACCGCCTGTCGTAGTGATTTTTCGAATTCGCAATGTGGAAGGATGGATGATCTCAAACGTGTGCGAACACAAAAACACAAGGATAACATGAGTTGTTTTTTAAAAAACGAAAAATTAAATTTTTCTTCGGAAACAAAGGACCAAAAAGTTATTAATGCAGAATGTCTGTCTCTGCCTTTTTACTGGAGCCACACCTGCCACTGAATGCATCGGATCACGCTGCAGCTTTATTTAGAAAAATGTTTCCCGATAGTGAAATTACTAAGAAATACTCAAGTGCAAGAACCAAAACAGGTGCATTGTTAAAGAAAATGAGTTTGAAAAAATAATCTTCAGTTATTGATTGCACAAAACAGCTCCGTTCTGCCTCTCTACGGATAGAAGCAATAATACCGATTCAAAAACTGTATCCAATTGTTGTTTCTTTTTTTTAATCCGATTCTTAAGAATTGAGTGCAGTTACTTTCTGTCCCCATTTTAGAAGGACATTTGACAGGCTTTAATTTTACCACAGCTAATATTAAACTTTAAAAAGAAAATGCAGGCCCTCTGGATAATTGCTTAGCACTTGGTGCCGATAATGCACCAGTATTGGTAGGCTTGAAGACTGGTGTTGCAGGCATCTTAAGAAAGGAAATTCAGATTTGCAGATTATGAGGTGCACCTGTCACCTCTTAAATTTAGCAGCTGAAAAAGGGCAGCTTCTTTACCAATAAATGTGGATGAACACATTGTTTGATTTATTATTATTTTGAAAGGAGTTCTAAAAGGAAGGAAAAATTGAAACAGTTCCAACAGCTGCATAACAGCAGTTTACAATTAGAAAACTTGAATGAAGTTATAAAATCAGCTAGGATTGACACCCAGTGGAGTTTAATTGGAAAACTGAAAGGTGCTGATGGAATTTTAAAATATAGCCAACTGTCTAGAATTGTGTTGGCCATCTTGACAGTTCCCCATAGTAGTACAGAGTGTGAGAGGATTTTCAATGTTGTTGCGTAAACGAGGACTAAATTTAGATCTAATATTAGTGATGACACATTAGAAAAACTTTTCTTAGCGAAAGCAGGCCTACGTGTCAATTGCAGTGAACAAAATTAGTTCTTTAAGAAAGAAACTTCCTAATTTTCTAAACTAAAATTCTCCTTTTTTTTTTTATTTCCATAAACGATGCAAGTAATAAAAATGTTTTTTTATGTGTAAGGTATTTTTGTGTTGCTTGCATTTAAGAATTAGTTACTATTAAAGTTAATTCATTATTAAAAACCATATTTTTATCATTTAAAAAGTCTTTTTAACATTGTGAAAAATCTCCTGATTTTTGAGTGTCATAGGTTGGCAAGTATGTTACTTAGATGGAATGCATTGTAAGTAAATGAAATTCGTTTGTAAATGAAAGTTATTGAGGAGAACAACTCAGTCATAACAGTAATTCTTTGTGGAATATATATAAGTCATATGTAATTGGCAAATTTTTGTGTTTTTATATGATGCCATAATTAATATAGGTTTAACAAACAGACAGTATGCGGATAGACTGGAATTTTCTTAAAAAATTAATTTATTAAATTTTTGGTTACCTGAATATGGCTGATGAAATGTAATAGATAAGAACAATTACCTGCTGTAAGTCTGTGCTCATATGTTCTGAGCAGAGCTTCCAGTAAAATCGAAGGGTCTAACAAAATATTAGAAATTAACGAAATGTGGATTGAGTACTGATTGTTTATTAATAAAAGAGCATATATTCCTTCAGAATTCCATAGGAACAATTGGTGCAACTTTGGCAGGATATTTACCTGCTTCAATAGTTCAATGATAGCCAACTTTCACGTCTGGATTGGATAATACTTAAGTACCATCATATTTTTATCTGGCATTTTATTACATTTAAGAATAGTTTTGTAGTGACACTATATAAGAAATAACTGACTAAAAGTGGTAGATCTCATACTTCATGATTATCGGATGTTGTTAAAGAGGAAAATACAACTTTATATTTGATATAATGAGTATGAAACAGTTAACATGCCTCAATTCATTATTGAAAATTGTAAACTCTATTCAACTCTATAGTAATAAACTTTAATGTATAATTTACAGTTGTCAGAATTTCTTATTTCTAGTAGTACATTAATGGAGAAATTATTTTGTTTTAAAAGTAAATATATATGTAATAAATTTATTCATAACTGTTTTCAGGTACGGTTAATAGTACACCATATATTAGCAAAGAACAGGAATTGGAACTAATAAGGATGAAATTAAAGCAACAACATGAGGTACAATTTCTATTTTAGTTATATTTTTATCCTTGTTTCATTGCACAGTAAAATCTTGCTGAACTAAAATCCGGCTTAACGAAAACAGTTAAAAAAATTAAGTCTGCGCTCCAAAACTGGTTATTTCCTATAATTTGAAATCAATTATTTTTACTGTTTTATTTTAATTAGTTAATAGTTGTTTTATAATGAAAACAAATTACCTTCATTGTACTCTGTGCAAAAATAATAAACTTGAAATCTTTGTTTTAGGAGATGATAATTTATAAATTGAGTTTTTGTATCCCTTAATCCTGTGGTCTTGGACTCGGATTGCATGTGGGCTGAATCCATGATTTGAAAGTAGCTGATGGGCCAAAATTTTTTAAGTTTCACTTTCTAAATATTTATCAAAGCATACATAAATGCCATTAATAGTATCATAAAGGAAGAAAATTCAAATCTGAAATCTAAAATTTGGTACCTGCAACACATTTTTATTTACAACACTTTATAATTCAAACATATTGACTACTAAATATTAATATTTCAGACTAGTATTTCAAATAATTCTGGTATTCACTCACACACATACACATATATAAATTAATAATTAAATAACTAAATTTAAAATAAGCAAATTAAGAAAACTTTCCAAGTGGAAGTAAATAATAACAATGTAATCTCTTCCTCTTATTTTATTTAATTTGTGTTTAACTTATAAATTAAAATATATGTGTTTATATGTAATGTTGCGATACGTGATGTTTTCACCTTTGAATTCAGTTTTTCGCATGCATACATGCATGTAATGGAGTGAACTGACGTAGGTTTTCATGTCACGCTTGAGGAGTTATGATGTAATGTATGTTCTTTTTGTTGGCTTTAAAAATTTTGAAAGAAAAAGATGTTCAGTTTTGATATTTGTTATAACGTTTTTGTAAAACCTGTGTGCAGATTAAATACAATAGAAAAAGCTGAACCTGAACTCTTGGTGTTTTACGCTGTATAAACAGTTTCCTCAAACACTTAAGCCGGAATTAAACAACTGATATATCCCAATGATTCAGGTAAACACTGTTTTACTTACCTTGTATCTGAATACTTTCACCACAGAGAAAGTATGCTAATATTGCTTTGGGACACAATATTACATCCCTTCTGGAAAATGAGTTGTTTTGAAGCGAAATCTTGTATATTATATTTATTACTAGAATTACAATTTAAGTGTTATGGATCAGTTAAAAAGGTTAAGAAAACCTCTTAAAAGCCCATTTACGTGCATAGCTAATGGATTTGATGTTGATGGGGAAAATAAAAGTATTGAAGAGATTGGAATTTCATTTGCCCAGAAGAAAAAGGAAGCGAACTTAATCTTAAGGAAAAGAAATTACAAGATTTTCTTCTAAAAAATGAAAATTGTTCTCAAGCAGATTTTAATAAGTTTGTATGAAGAGCGATTTGTCAGATTAAGAACAAAAGTGCACAAAGTTTTAAAAAATGTTAAAAATGAAAATGATTCTCAAATGATTCATTGAAACGGAAGTTTAAGCTTCCTAAAATAGAATTTAAGTGGTTTGGCGGTGATATCAAAAGAATTGTTGTCATTTTGGGCATAATTTGAGCAGAAACATAATGATCATGAAATCGTTAATGAGAGTAAATATCAGTATTTATTACAAATGACTTTGAAGGGTTCAAGGGCACGAGAACTTGTTGAATCATTTCCGGCCAGAGCTGATAGTTATGAAAGCGTAATACAATGTTTAAAGGCAAGATTTGGCCGAACTGACATGTTAATTGAAGTGTATTTTAGAGAAGTTCTTTCGTTAATGATGAATAACGCAATCCATAAAGGTCCTAAAATGCCTCTTTTTAAATTGTACGATAAGATTGAAACTTATTTGAGGTCTTGAAATATGTTAGGTGTTTCCAGCGCAAATTATTCTTCAATTTTATATCCGTTGATTGAATCTCATCTGCCTGTCGACACATTGAGAGTTTAGGAAAGCAATTTGCACTCTATATCCCAAACATCTAAAGAAGTAACCATTGATAAGTTAAATAATCTAATGAAATTTTTATGTCACGAGATTGAAAGCGAAGAGAAAGTGCTTCTAGCAGGTACCGGATTTAACCGTAAAACCAAAATCTTAAGCAAAACTATTTCACCTGTGTCAGCATGACAGGAAAGATTTACTCCGACAGCTGCAGAGTTGTGTAACCTTTTGGAAATTAAAAGAGAAACTTGTGTATTTTGTAACAAGGCACTTAAGTAGCCAGTGTAGGTATGCTGATAATTCGCTTTATGAAGAGAAAGAGCAAACATTATTAAAAAAAGGGTGAATGTTTTAGATGAGTGGCTATAAGAAAACGAATTTCTCGTTTTTGTAAAATGAAAGTACCACCTTGTGAGATTTGCGGTAAGGGTCATTCATTTTAAATGAATCTGTACTTAAAAATGTAATCTCGAAAATTTGAACCAATCACTGAAGCTGATAACATAACATTAGTCGCGCTTCCTTCTTATGAAAAGAAGGAAAAGAGCTTAGACAATGTTGCCCATTGCTCTTCCGCCATTTGATCATTTAAATCAAAGGTTTTAAATGGTAACTCCCTTGAAAGGTAAATAATAAATAAATAGATAAGATCCCCAACTGACACCAAATATATAGTATCAGCAAAAGATCCCATCTCTAAAATCAGGGTGTCGGTTAAATCGTTAAAAACCTCCCAACTGGATGAAGAGCCGACTGAATCCCTCCCAACCCACCAAACGCAAACTCTTGACCAAACAAGGGTGCAATGGTGAGTCTAAAATAAAAATAAATAAATTAATTAATTAAATAAGGAGGGCAGAGGTACTTTCTTAAGCCAAATGGCGAGGTGGTGTATAAAGATTTGATATCTATTTCCAAATTATATTCTAAAATACAGCTATGAGAGGGATATCCCTGCATAGTTTCTTTTACAAAAAAAAAAAAAATAATAACTTACAAGGCGTCTCAATGCTTGTTACTTGTGGTTTCAAATTCACCATACCTGTAGATGTTTAGTATACATCAGAAACCCTATTAATGCCAGAGAGCCCTTTGTATAGAAGGGCTTGATCAAAGCTAATATAGGAAAACCCAAGGAATTTGTTTCTAGGGACAAAAAACACTGGACATTGTCCCAGGAAGTGAAAAGTTGTTTTCTCTTATTCTCCACAAGTTGGGCAGAGAGGAGATTCGACAAGACCACATTTTTGGAGATGCTTGGCCAGATAAGCATGTCTGGTAACAATCTGAATTACCTGGAGTAAGTTTAGTTCTACTGAGGTGTATGAGTTTACCTGATAAGTTAAGTGTACTACTGAGCACCAATTTAGAATGAGCACAGTCTGGTAGTTTAGACCATATATCATCATGTTTTTTCTTTATCTAGCTTCTTACTTCTTTTTTAACAGTATGATATGAAACTGGGTAAAATGGTTCTGGGTCAGGCATGGGTAGTTGCGAAGCATCTTTAGCTACTCTATCAGCTAGTTCATTTCCAACAAAATCACAATGACCTGGGGCCCAGACTAAACTAATGGTGTTATGGGCCTGAGCCAGAGAATTGAGATTCCTTTTTGGTATATAAGTTGAGAATACTTTATCTGGAACTATTATTTTAGTAATTGCATCTTTGGGCATATAGATTATAGGGAACTCATTGCCCAAGTCCAGGCATATGTCAATGTGGCTTTTCACAAGGCTTTTATGTCCGAAACTTGTCCTTTGGTACTATGTGCCATTTTTATTCAACATATACATGGCTTTAATTGCTTCTCCGCTCAAAAATAATTTCAAGGGTGGAATTTGCAATAAAAATTCTAATGCAGCAGTAGGGGTACTGTTTAAAGCCCCACTAATGCATAGGCAAGCAAGTCTTTGCACCTTTTGTAAAATGTTTAAATATGTGCTTTTGTTAATAGCATTGATCCAGACCACACATCTGTAAGAAAGCATTGGCCGGACTATGGCAATATAAATCCATAGAGTCGATTTTGGGTTAAGGCCCCATTGTTTACCAATGATTCGCCTGCAAAGCTTGTACATTTGTGGCTGTTTGTGCCGTTTCTTTTATATGGGTGATCCATGTGAGTTTACTGTCCAGGTAACATCCTAGGTATTTAACGCATTCCTTATGTCTGATAATCTGGTTACCCAGATATAAATCTGCTAATTTCCATTACCCTTTCAACATGAAAACTATGACCTCTGATTTTTCAGCAGAGAAAGTTAGGCCATGTGTTTCACCCCCAGTGCGATACTTTATTCAAGATTTGCTGAGCTTGATTGTGTAGGGTTTCAATATCGAAACCCTGTAGTAACACAATAAGGTCATCTGCATAAGCCTGTGACATGCCAGGTTCCTCCCGTAGAAGTACTAAGAGTGAGTTGAATACCAGGTTCCACAGGAACGGAGAAAGAATACCACCCTGTGGACGCCCTTTAGTAATATCTCTCTTTACTTCACAGTCAGGGAGACTAACGCAGATATTCCTGTTTTTAATCATAAAGATGACCCATCTAGTTATCATAGGGTGAATATGACTTCCAACAAGCGCCTTATGTATTTTCTCAAAACCGATGTTATCAAAGGCTCCTACAATATCCAGTAGAATCCCAATGGCAAAGTGTTCGTCTATAATTGTTTTCTCTATTCTCCACACCAGTTGGTGTAAGGCCGACACAGTGGAGAAGCCAGGCCTAAAACCGTGTTAGTCTAAGCCAAAAGTATGTTTCAGATTATTATCTGACTGAAGGTTCCAGAAAATCAATTGCTCCAACAGCTTCAGCTGGAAGGATGTTAGCGTATGGTTTCTCATATATATATTTTCCTGGTTTGGGAAGAAACACACCTCGTGAAGTATTCCGCACCTTAGGAACATATCCTAAAACCAAACTGGATTCGAATATGTCCACGAAAATGTGGCCAAAAATATCCCAGCCTTTCTGAAGCAGAATTGGGTAAATGCCATCGTTATTAGCAAA